ACCGGTGAGCATGTTATAGTGGAAGATCCTATGGTCTAATGCAAATAGATCGACCGCAAACATTTATACAAATAATATTATTGGATATACATTTTGCATTAAGAGTATATTATACGCAGGAGAACTATACCTACCCTTGTGAACTAATCGTCAGTAAATATGGGAAATTATTAGACGGGTGATTACTGACCGGTGAGCATGTTATAGTGGAAGATCCTATGGCCTAAAGCAAATAGATCGACCGCAAACACTATATTCTTGGATATTATACATTTTGCGTTAAGATTATACCTATATTATTGCTAACGTCGACGTGTTATCGTAGTGGCTACTACAAGATTGGAAGTTTACAAAGTGTACATCCGACTTGTAAACAAACAAACTGTATGACGTCAATATATAATGTACACACGGTTACAAAGTTTCACCAGCGTACTCGATTGTTCAGCTGTTCCCGTAAACGGACTAGTAATTGGAGCAGCATTAATCGTATTCTCAGTATTATTATCTGCGAATTTTAATTGTCTGTTGAAATTAATGAACAAACAACTAAAAAAAAAGGCTATATTATAATCGTTGAAATTTTATCCCTCCAATATATCTGAAAAATGAGACCGAGAATATCAAACGACGCTAATGCAGCAGAACAATTTGAGTAAAAAAAGTGAACAGTCAACTTTTAGGATGTCCTTTTACTACAGGACTTGTATCTCTGAATAATTGAATTACTTGATACGGCGTATTATCCCTTAAAGCACGGACGCTTCGAAGTCATGATAGTATATTTCCTGTTATTATTATTATAAACTACTAGCTGACCCGGCAGACTTCATAGTGCCTCAATCGATAAATAAAAGACCTAAACTTTTGTATAAAATAAACTTAAAGTAAACAAAAGGAATCCGTACGACGGGGGACACATCAAAGGAAAAACAAAATTGTTATTTTTATTTAATTCCGAGCGTTTTCATATTTATCTACCTGTTAAACCTTCTCTGGACTCCCACAAATAATTCAAAACCAAAATTAGCCAAATCGGTCCAGCTGTTCTCGAGTTTTAGCGAGACTAACGAATAGCAATTCATTTTTATATATAAACTATAGTAAGTACTATTTAGTATTCACTGTTTGCTTCTGCTTCCATTGTCTTGGTGTAACGAATCCTCGTAAAATTCCATAAGATCCCATAAAAGTAACCTCTCATTACTTCAGTGCTGTTGAGACTCCAACTACATGGGCGGTAGTTCGTCCAAAGCCAAGGGAACTGCTAAAGATAGTATTTAATAATCAAAACCTCCAAATGACGTTAATGGATATTCTACAAAGGTATTTTCGTTTTAATATATTTCTCTTTTAATCCTAATAATTTATATAGGGTTCAGTGATTTATTGTAAAAATTTATCAACATAAAAGATACATCGTTCATTAAAATTTGAACGAACCTTATATTTACTGGTGGTAGGACCTCGTGTGAGTCCGTACCGGTAGGTACCACCGCCCTGCCTATTTCTGCCGTGAAGCAGTAATGCGTTTCGGTTTGAAAGGTGGGGCAGCCGTTGTAAATATACTGAGACCTAAGAAATTATATCTCAAGGTGGGTGGCGCATTTACGTTGTAGATGTCTATGGGCTCCAGTAACCACTTTACACCAGGTGGGCTGTGAGCTCGTCCACACATCTAAGCAATAAAAAAAAAAATTATATAATCCGTGCACATTTAGTGGGAAAATTTCATTGTGTCAAAAACACCTATTATCTGTTCCTCTTATTGAAATAAATAAATCCTAAATCTGAAATGCTACGGTACATATTTAAACGCGTCGACGCTTAAAAAGTAAACAAAACGTAACTCAAACTAAAATCAGTGATTTAACATGCATCTTAATAAGTAGCTAATGAGTCTTCATTAGTTCAACGATACGTTTGCCACTAATTAACTTTCGTAATGCGCACGTTAACCAAACGACGTACGATTCACTGAAATAAGGATGTTGAGTCATTTAAAAAGGCTACGTATCCATAATTGTAAATAGACATGCTTTAACAAAAACCGACTTTAAATAGAAAAAAAAAGATATTCCAAAACAAATTAATATACACTAAAAACAATGATCATCGAAATCGGTTGGCGTGATATTGAGTTATTCATCTATTTGTCGCGCAAGTACTTAATGCAAATTTAAGACTTATACGGTTTTCTCATGGATACCATTATCAGAACTGGACTAAATTGAAATGGGACCACACGGGAAACGTCAGCTTTCTAATAAATAAAAAATCATCAAAATCGATTCACCCAGTCAAAGGCTATGAAGTAACAAACATAAAAAAAAACATAGAGTCGAATTGAGAACATCCTCCTTTTTTGAAGTCGGTTAAAAATCTTAAACAGTATTTAGTAAATACATTCGAAACTGCTCAAACTAGAAATATTTCCAATATGGCAGTTATGTTATTGCTGTCGAATAAGAAAAAAATGTACATAAAAGTACTTGATGTCACCGCAAATAAAATGTGGGCGTGGACAGTTACAGCGAAATATTCCCACGACGCACACGCTCTTCCTTCTCTTCAACTTTAAATTATTCATATGCACAACAATTTTTTTTATTTATTTCTTAAGTGGGTGGACGAGCTCACAGCCCACCTGGTGTTAAGTGGTTACTGGAGCCCATAGACATCTGCAACGTAAATGCGCCACCCACCTTGAGATACAAGTTCTAAGGTCTCAGTATAGTAACAGTTACAACGGCTGCCCCACCCTTCAAACCGAAACGCATTACTGCTTCACGGCAGAAATAGGCGGGGTGGTGGTACCCACCCGCGCGGACTCACAAGAGGTCCTACCACCAGTAAGATACAATATTCACAAAAAACACTGCTTACCTATAATACTTGTCTTAACTTGACCTGTATGTGTTATCTACGAAATCTAATCCAGTTATCTATACACGTCACGGATTCAACATAATTTTACCAACTTCAGGGAATCCGATTAACATGAAATTTTGCGTATCACCGATGCAGTGGCTGTGTTTGCTCTTGGCCAGGATAAATAAATGGATTACTTTTAATTCTTAGTACGGCTTGCCATTGAGTTATACTACTTATTTATCAATAATTAAAAAAAAGTGTAAAATCAAAGATACTAATAACCTCTAATAGAATTCTATGTCTAATTTGAGATTTTTAATGAATACCAACGTTTTTGGGATACTCAGCTCGGGGACTATTTTAAGAGCTTTTTAATCATTGAACTATAAAAATAAAAAATTGCGATATCTTGACATGTTGCACGTAATTAATTTCGCCGTTTCGCCATTTCGCCATTACGCCTTTTCGCCATAATTTCTATTCAGTCAGTACTTTGAATAATATAGGCCAACATTGTATAGTCCTATGGAACACTTTCCTCGAGAAATTGCTCGAGATAATTTCCTTCATCTTTATTTTATCATCACACCGTCCGCCACCGAAGCAGAGCTTATTCACACTCCAAGGATCTTTTTGCCACGTTCCATCCAGCTCTGGAATGAACTCCCTGCCTCGCTAAGATTTATCTTTCTTCATACGAAGTTGAATCCTCAGCAGTAGGCAGCGGCCTACTCGTGCCTCTGGTATTGCCGATGTCCATAAGTGACGCGGTAATAACAGTAATAGATAAAGTATAATTTTTAATGATGGGGATAAATATTTTTCTTTCCCTACTTTTTCGCTGGTACAGGCTATTCCAGCTATGCGCGGACGGGTAGATGAGCTCAGAGAATTGCCCTAGCAAGAGCAGTGTCTCGTAGAATCTACCACCGGATCGGAATCGCAACTCACTAAGAAGATCCGGCGAGACTTAGTGGGTTAAATTAATCAGAGATGTAGCCAGCACTACAATGTTTTCTCATTGTCAAGAGCACGCGACATTTCTAACGTTTGTGAAATTTTCAATCCATTTTATGTTTGATTAATAACTATGGCAGTGAGCCCTATAAATAATATCTTCTCTTAACCGCAAATACAGAAATTGACGTAATAAAAATAAAATGATTCAATGTTAATTGTGTAATAATATTGTATTACATTTTTCAGAAAAGGATGACTCAGATATTCTAACTTAAAAATACAATATAATAATATGTCTAATAGAATTGAAGAATTGCAGTCCTTGATACGTGTGCAAATTATCAAATTAATCTGATGTCTTGTAGTCTTTGAAAATGACATTTATAGATTACGTTACATAAAAACAGACGTAAATACACATCAAGCTAATAAAATCGTGTCAAAATGTAACATTTTGTTGTACACTAAAATATTACAAACAAAATTAGAACAGCCAGCCTTATGTTATATTTAAGTCTTTTCTGCTAGGCGGCCATTTACATATAGGGTGCAATTGAAGAGTTCTTGAAGTCAAAATGAAATAACCCAATAAGATGACATACGTATGTGTAAAAAAAACAATAATTATTTCTTATAGGCATGTATTAGTCTTGTGCGTGTACTATGTGTGCATTTGCCGTTTTTATGATTTATTATTTTGAATTTGAAATCTAAACCAAAAGTGGTGGTAGGACCTCTTGTGAGTCCGCGCGGGTAGGTACCACCACCCTGCCTATTTCTGCCGTGAAGCAGTAATGCGTTTCGGTTTGATCGGCAGGGCAGCCGCTCTAACTATACTGAAACCTTAGAACTTATGTCCTAAGGTGGGTGGCGCATTTACGTTATTGATGTCTATGGGCTCCAGTAACCACTTAAAACCAGGTGGGCTGTGAACTCGTCCACACACCTAAGCCATAAAAAATAAAAAGTCCTCTGATTTACTTCTTCAGTTTGTACTGGACCTCATTTTGCTCTTTTGTCTCAATGATAGAAAATATTTGCGTGACAGAAAGTTGTGGAAGTATTACTCATATTTTGTTTTAAAAAAATAAGGATATAAGGATAGGGAGATAAGGGATAGAGAGGGAGATAATGAGATTTTATAAGTTGTTTTTTTTTTGTTACAGCGAGCGGCGCGCTCGCAGCCGGCACCATTGCGTCTCCGTGGAGCACGCCGGCCGGCGCGCCCGACACCAATGGATCGGGCGGCGCTGACGCCAAGCATCTCGATGTCGGAGACGCTAGTGACGATGAGAAGGTAATCGAAAATAAACTATTCATGGGTTTATGATCAATTTACTCATAAATTGTATCCCGTAAATAAGACTAAAAGTAATAAGGTTTTTGATCGTTTTCTAAGAATAAATGCGGTAAAAGATTTTGATTATATGCTCGACATATCTATCGCAATCATTAGAAAACCAATGAGGGGTCGTGATGAAAAGCTTGCAATAATATCATAAATGAAGCAATAATTTAAGTTGTAATTACAACACAGCCTAGTTCACAGAATAAAGTTACAATTTCTTAGTTTTTAAATTTTTACTACTTAACAATAAAGTAGTAAATGAAATAATTATACAAATGCACAAAGAAGGTAAACAAAGTCGTCGTTGCCTAAAGGATAAGACGTCCGGTGCATTTGTGTTGAAGCGATGCACCGGTGTTCGAACCCCAGGCGGGTACCAATTTTTCTAATGAAATACGTACTCAACAAATGTTCACGTTTAACTTGCACGGTGAAGGAATAACATAGTGTAATAAAAATCAAACCCACAAAATTATAATTTGCGTAATTACCTGTGGTAGGACCTCTTGTGAGTCCGCGCGGGTAGGTACCATTACCCTGCCTATTTCTGCCGTGAAGCAGCAAAAAACCTAGGAGCTTTAGTAATCAAGATAATCGATAAAGCTTAATTAAATAAACGTAGGTCCAGAAACTTTGATTGATCCTGTAGTAAGTGGGATAATGTTTTACATTTGATTCTCTTTATAATTCTAGACATTCTGAATACTTTTCCCCTATATTCAAATTCAAGTTTTACTATTAAAACCTTACCGCGTGTGACACAAAATCGGTTACAGTGTAAAAATGGTTTGAAACGTTTTTTTTTTAAATTATCAGCATTGAAATTTTAATTCAATCTAAAACAATACAATGTGATAAGACTATATTGTGCGCTCACACTTGTAGATATACCGCCGCCCTGCTCATTATTGATGTAGCTTGCATTGCGTGTTGAGATCGGGCTTTAACATCACGTATCTTTTATCTTTCTTTATTTTTCTATCTATGGTGGCTATCAGTGAGGCTATTTCAGCTTTACCCTAGTGTGTAGGTGAGCTCTCGGGACTCAAACCGGAACTATTGCTAACACTAGCCCTAGCAAGAGCAGTGCTTCGCAGAATCTACCACGGGATCGGAAACGCGACCCACTGAGAAGATGCGGCAAGAAACTCAGTGGGTAGTGTCTGTGGGTTAATTTACTCGCAAGCGACGGGTTCGACGAGAACGTTGACCGGTGCTTGGGGTACTTAAAAGTACCGTTAGTGGATCGGGAGGATTAAAGTCCACAATCACCCGGCTAATTTAAATCGCCGAGCAAAAAGAAAAACAAATCGATTCTTCTATATTTTTTAAGCACATGGCACTCTTTCTCTCCAACACATACACACCCACGTATCAAAGTCAGCTGTAGTATTCGCGTTATGGGTTCCACTAATCCTTTAACAATAAGTGGGCCGTAATCTCGTCTTCCCATCTAATGTAACTATAAAAATAACCTACAGGTCGTCGTCGGTAATATAGGTACGTCATTCACATAATATTCCCATAGTTGGTTGAAATTTTAAACACAGACATCACTGGTAATAAGTACTTTATTTGAGTTAGTGTAACAGCTGTAAATTTAACATAGAATCCTTTTCTATAGGTCACGGGGCATATCGGTATTATATCATCTCTAAAGACGAAAATTTTGAAACATATATTGAAAAATATTAATAGACAATTTTTTTTCATCATGATACCATTTCTTATCGTTATATCTAGAAATAATTATGACTTACTCCATTTGTAATTTAAAGATTTTGTCTAAATAGTTTCTAGTTGAAGTTCACTTGATTAGATTTTGAATACCTATATAGAGTAAAGTAAAGAATTATCTGATATTTTGGTTTGATGAAGGTTGTAAAGACTGAAGTAATTATTTATTAAGAAATATCTGAGTGTTTGCCGCAGTAAAAATAATTAATGCAATTCATTTAACGCTTGTTTAATTATCAAACCGTAAACTAAGTTTCGGTGATCTCTTGTCGAATAATTTGACATGCCAAAATAAATATTTTTTGTTGAAAATATATTTGTTATTTTTCTTGATTGCCACGAGTTTACAGCTCTCATGATTGGAAGTAGTTATCGGCATAAAGCCAAGCCGTTGCCTACCATTGAGAACTATCCAAACCTCGTTAGTATGTCGTAACGCTCGGAAAACACTATGGACGACAGTTAATTTCAGAGCAACGTAGAATTTATAGTCGATGAACGCAGTGATTCCGGGAAATATGTACAAATCAACTCATCTCAATCTTATTAAAGAGCTTATAATTTTTTATTTTTTTTATTGCTTAAATGGTTGGACGAGCTCACATCCCACCTGGTGTTAAGTGGTTACGGGAGCCCATAGACATCTACGACGTAAACGCGCCACCCACCTTGAGATATAAGTTCCAAGGGTCTCAGTATAGTTACAACGGCTGCCCCACCCTTCAAACCGAAACGCAATACTGCTTCACGGCAGAAATAAAAGAACATGGCCCAATCTAAGTTCATTTTTTTTTCTATAGTATAGCGGTTGTCGTTTGGCGCTGTTGTTACCTTGATATTGTCAATGTACATTGATGGTTACAATTCCTTGAAGTGGGCGACGAGCCTTCATGAGAAAAGATAAGAAAGATATTAAAGTAGTATGACATCAATGAAACAATATATAATAGGTACCTAATAATTGTTTCGAAGGTACCTATTGCACTTTATTGGATAGGACTAGAAAACAAGACATTAACTTGTAAATATATTTTTGATATCGCTTATGACTAATTTTTTTTTTCGTGTAAAATAAATACTGATGATGGGTCAAAATAAAATGTGATTCCCCTATCAAAACCCGTCATTACACACATGTTGTCTATTACATAGGTTTCATTTTGTCGTTCATGGCGTAGTCGTAGGTGATTGTCTAATCCGTCTGGATTCACGGCCCAGTGGACATCAGAGCCTACAAACGTCACAACTTGAACGCGGTCGAAATCTCGAATGCTTTGAACAGCAGCCATTTCCTCAAACGGGAACGCATGACCACTTCGAGTTCAATGGAAACTTCATCGGTACGAAACAAAAGCAAAATTCATTTAACCGCTACCCAGCACAATATAGGTACATTAGTGAGAAAATCGTACGTAAATATTGACCGAGCGTAGAATAAAAACAGAAACAACGTTACAAGTGGTTCCGCGGAACTTGTGATTCACGATGTTTTCGATCGCTCATTGGACCGCGCCGAGGGCACTGTGTTATTTTTATTTTCTTTACAGAATAGCGAGCGAGTCTATTAATTACAATGACGCACTCGTCAGTGAGCAAACCGCGGGTTCAGTTACGTCTGTTTAATGTACGGTTCTGATGTGTTTCGTTTTCGGAACAACCTTTAAGTAGGCTCACACAAAAACATATCAGTTAAGTCTCGTTGAAGCCGCATTATCGATTTGTACTACTATTTTTATACGCATGCAAACCGAATCACATTGCCAACAGAACTAAATAATTAGTTTTATTGCTTATAAAATAAATCGAATAATTGTACTAGAGTGATATACAAATTAAAAGCGTGTCTTCGACTTATTTCGCAATGAATATTAACTCTCAGAGCGGTCAATATTCACTTGTTAGCTTTTTTTTCTGTGTTGGAACACACATATGATTGATACGACATAGTAGAGTATACTTTATTGCATACCCAAACACACTTTACAATGAAAATGAACATGTATATAATCTACAATGGGCGGTTTTATCGCTAAAAGCGATCTCTTCCTGATAACCGTTTCCACATTTACACATATCACGGAGAAATTATGTAAGATATGTGGTAGATATGATGATATAGTATGCTACGACTAATACTATCCTTAAATAGATCATACATTTAAATGTATTGAAGACAACACAAGGTACTATAGCATTTTAATGCCAAATATAGTAAGTAAATAAAGATACTGTCTCCGGTAGCCCACTGAGTTTCTCGCCGGATCTTTTCAGTAGGTCGCGATCCCGATCCGGTGGTAGATTCTGCGATGCATTGCTCTTAGTAGGGCCAGTTTTAGCAACACCCCCGGTTTGAGCCCCGTGAGCTCACCTACTAGCTTGGTGAATCTAGAATAACCCGAGGTTACTAGAATAGTTAGGGGGAAAAAAACTGTCTCCGAGCAGGGGTCAAACTAGGACTCATATAATATTAGTGAAGCACTAAATCAAATCACAGATTTATACGTTTTTTTATGACGAAGACGCTTTCGCAGGACATGTCGGCGGCGGACGCGGAGGGCGTCTGGAGTCCCGACATCGAACAGAGCTTCCAAGAGGCGCTGGCGATATACCCGCCCTGTGGACGACGCAAAATTATTCTCTCCGACGAGGGCAAGATGTACGGTGAGTTCGCACATGAAGAAATATTACAATGGGTGTAAATGTTTGTCTCTATAACAAATACTACTGATAGCATAGTGTGTTGAGACGCTAAAACCCAGCGATCTTTGTGGGTCGCAGTCACCCATCAATGGTATTGGCTGTCACTTCCTCATAGTATTATCATAATTCTAGCCAAATATTAGAGTACTTTTCTTGAACAGAAATTTTTTACCTTCTCGAGATAGAGAACGACCTCCCCAAGGATTGAGTTTATTTCACTGCATCAGCAACATATGTATAGACCAGGCCTGGGCAAATGGCGGCCGAATCCGGCCCGCGGTAGAATTTTGTCTGGCCCGTGAAGCATTGTATATATTATTATATTATATATTATAAAAACGCAAATATTAGTTTTTGTCTAACATAAATTGGTGCATAAATTTTTTTAGATAAAATATTAAGCAATACTTATAAACATCATATATCAGGGCCGGTGGGACCCAAAATTTTCTCCCAGACAACCGCTCTTTTCAGCGTCTCCTATTCCAAAATATAATTATGATAATTGAACAATTACAGTATGTATAATAGTCGCACAATTTTATTAGTTATTATACTTATTATGTCACATTATTGCATGAATACACAAAATAACTTAAATCTAAAGCCGCCATTTTCTCCTGCGATATAGTAGAGCGCAAGTTATTTTATATTAATTTTAATTTGGAGAAATAAAACCAGAATTAGAAAAAACTGCTTGGCCCGAGGTCAAATTTTCATCTGTAATGTGGCTCGACTATCAAAATATTTGCCCACCGCGTATTTTAGAGACGTTTCTGCTACTCCTCGCAATACCTGAGGACTGAATCAGCTTGTAAAGCCGACTATGTGTTTGTGCCTACACAACTCCGTCTCGTGAGGAATCTTTAAAAGACACGATTTGTTGCGACTCAGGAATAGCGATCAGACATCTAAAATGCTATAATTATTAAAACATGTTTAATAATAATGTTTCACCTGGTTCCACGTCAGTTTCTTAATAAGCGACCCTGAAACGAGACAATTCATTAGCAGCGTGATAAAACAAACGAAAGCACAACGCGCGGAAAATCTAAATGATAAACGTTTATTAAAAATGCAGACGTTATAATACAACGCTCGACTTCCCCACATGTCAATTTGGTTGAATAATGGAGCGATATCAAGGCCGTCGTCGTGCTCCGAAATGAACAATGGTCTTGGCACGAGACAAAAGCCACCGTTTGGTACCCATTGATGTCGGCCGACAAAGCGGTTTGCGCAATAGGATTCCGCGGAAAGACGTGAACCGACAATTATTATCTGATGCGGTTCGACCGTGTCGTGTCGATTCGAGGAAATCACACGGCTACTTTATCACGTACGAAAATATCTGGTGAGGAGAGAAAATTACGAAAAACTCTCGGTCTCACTTTCAACATTTTCATATTGTGTGATTCGTGTTTACATTGTCCTTTTTGTAAAGTGACATTCCCGATCCTACGGACAGAATGGAAAGCAGTCGACGTCGCCCCAAACACGTCATTTCGGATCCTCCCGATACACTAACGGTGCTTTTAGGTACCTCAAGCACCGGTTATCGTTCTCGTCGAACCCGTCGACGAGGAAATTAACCCTCAGACACAACCCGCTGAGTTTCTCACCGGATCTTCTCAGTGGGTCGCGTTTCCGATCCGATGGTAGATTCTGCGAAGCACGGCTCTTGCTAGGGTTCGTGTTAGCAACGTCATCAGGCTTGAGCCCCGTAAGCTCACCTACTAGTTAAGGCGACGCTGATATAGCCTCTCAAGGCTATCAGTCATCAAAAAAATCACATTACTTTTTTTTTACCTCATGTTAAAAAAAAAATTCAAGTGATTTTTTTTCAAGTATATTTATTTAATAATGCGTGATTTATATAAAGTTTACTGCAAATCAAACGTGAAAACTGAATTACAATGAAACATAAATAAGAATTTGAAAAGTATCCTGCAATAGTTGAATGAATGAAAAAATCTTGGAAAAAAAACCCACAGAAAAACAGCGTCTAATTAAAAACATTTAAATCGCTCAAACAATTGTAGATTCTTATAAGACGGAAGGAGATAATCTCTAAAGCCAATAAAATGGAGTTTTAAAATATCTTCACGTCACTTTGTTTGTTATGGGAAGCTCGTTAACGAAACGTGACGATTGCCACTCCAAGTAATCTTCTTAGTAAATTAGCAGGAAAATTATTTTATTTCTAAAACACTTTATGTAATTTTGTAGCACATATAAATTTAATGGATAAGGTTTTTGAAAAAATACGCGAAACAGTTATAAAGAACGAACCGCTCATTTAATTATCATTTGTTTTTCCACAATTTTTTTGCTAGAGCGATGAACAAAAACTAAATAAAATACAAATCGAGGAGTAAACGTAATAGTGTCGGAAAGTTAGATTTAAACAGTTTCACGATTTTTCTTTCAAAGTGAATTATATAAAAGAGTTGTTTTCATTTAAATGTCTTATTACCACACATTTTAATGTACTGTATAATATTAGGTAATCGAAATAAATTCAGTGAAGTAAAGGACGCTTTCATTTCATAATAATAATACGCGCGTACATAATTACTATCGTTCCGTTTCTAGATTCTGAGTTTTCATGGCTTGAATTGAATGAGAATCGTATTTATTTCGCATTTTAAGGTGATCAGCAGCATTTGCTTCACACCAAGTAAACTGTGAAGTGGCAAAAATAAGTGATTTTTTTTTCAAGAACATCACTTCACATTTGAATTCTTCTATTTTAAACCAATTCAAACCTGTCCTGCTGTTTTCTTAACAAGAAATAGATATTCACTTCGATGGAAATAAAAAAATCTAATAGCTGTGTGTAAGGGTGAAACTTTTTTCCACATTTTATTGGCGTGAATGGACAGCTGGTCTTGCGGCCTACCCTATATTAAGTGATTACCAGAGCCGCCATCCAACAGACGAGTTTAAATTGTATCTAAATAACGAATATCCTACTCTTCGATCAATAATGCATGTGATTAACAGGAAGATATGAACTATTGCACGATAGAGATGTTGTTACTACTGCATGAGGCTACAGTTGCCAATTCGTCTCGCCTGATAAATTCTCGAACAGACAGAACAACTATCGTGTAAGAGTTCATTTCCAGAATCATACATAGCTTAACATAATCTTGCTATGGTGTTTAAATGTAAAACCTTCATTGGAGCGTGTCATTTAGGAAATGAAACAACTGCAAACATTCCTGTAACCATAATCTCAATGGATAACCACCGTCATTTCGTTTACTCTACATACCTAGTCTCCGACGAACCCGAACATGTTCTAAACATATTATTATATTATCGCGTGTTACTGTCAAACCTTTTTCCAAACGTGACTTGTAAAGTTACGTCCCTGACGTAGACAATAGCGGCCATTACACCGCCGGACGCACATTAAGTTCGCGTTCAGCTTTAGTATTATACGTTCCTGCTTTAATTAAAGGACAGTCCGCTCCCGCGATGCTGCCTAATGGAATTGCCAAACAAATTTACCACAGAGGCGATGTGTCCACCTTAAGTGATTTAATAGGCGTTAAGAAATGCTTCGTTTAAATTACTTCAATTCTAATGGCCTTAGCGGGGTGTAGCGGAGGCAAATTTAGGGTGAATTGAAATCAAAAGCAGTGCCAATTTATCCGTGAAAGGTATACTAGTGAAACTTGTGGGACACAGCTACTTATGAACGTCATTTAAATAAATTTTGAATCGCAATATACAGTTCAATAGTAATACATCCAATATGTTCAGATAAATTGGCGCTGGTTCGATCCCGGAGATAAATATTTATTTATTTATTACCTAATCTTTGTTTGCGAAACGAATCTACAAAGTAAAATGAAATATAATAAAACATTTCTGATGGTTGGTTTACGTTTGAGCCCGCATGGCTCGGTACCACTGTCTCGCTTATATCTACCGCAAATTAATCTCGATTGCAGCGTTTCCTTATAATACCAACATAGATTCTACGCTTTGGTACCTAGTACAATTTTAAGACCTGTTAAGAGATTATTTTCTTAATCGCATTCAAGGACAAGCAAACTGTGCTTAGTGCGAGTTTCATAACGTTCTCGATAGCGTAAAAGTTAACCCAATTTTGTATGCAGTTGGAACAGCGCCCCTAGCGACAAACGTACGCAAACGATTCCATTCCACACAAATATGAGCTAACTTTTACGCTATCGAGAACGTTAAAAAACTCGCACTAAGCACACTGATGATTCTTTTTTTAGGATTCCGTAGCCAAACGACCTCAATGGAAACTCACTGATTGTCTATTCGTATGCAGTTTTATTATTTCGCCTGGGAAATGGTTGCTCAATAATATAAATTTCAAAAGAACGGTCTTATGTACACTTATTAATATATTTACAGCTACAACGATATATTGAAAAATAAGAAAATAATACTAGGTAGAAGTGGTTTATTAATTTTATTGAACGAGAAACATTAAGTTCAAATGTCAAGTACCATATATTTACGAGAATTTAAATATTTCTATTTGAGTTTTATTGTAAATTATTCTAAGTTTTCTGCAAAGCCATTTAAAATGCTGAAAATATTTGAGAGTAATGTAAAATACAATTCCCGTGAAAATTTATCTTAACGAAGAATACATGATGTAGTTTTAGTTTTTTTTATAATACACTAGCGACCCGCCCTCGCTTCGCTTCGGAAACTGTAATTTATTCTTGATTCCTCCACTATTTCATGGATTTTATTATACATATAAACCTTCCTCTTCAATCACTGTATCTATTAAAAAAAAACTGCATCAAAATCTGTTGCGGAGTTTTAAAGATTTAAGTATACATAAGGATATAGGGACAGAGAAAGCGACTTTGTTTTATACTGTGTACTGATTTTCTGCTGTTCACTGTTCCGAGTTTACACAAAATGACAAAATGAGTGACACAAAAATATTTAATTATTTTACTACTACTGTAACGGCATCAAATTTGTTCTTCGACATTTATGACTTCGAAACGCTTTCTTGCAAGTAGGCCGATACGCGGTTTCAAGGTTTTATTTATATTGGCTCAGACAGCCATGCAATGCCGCCCTTAAACTTTTTTTTTTTACTTTAACAGTTACCTACATTATCATTGTCCTGCCCTCCTCCCAGTCACCTGAGGTCAGCGCAACATGTTTTCTCCTTCCATACTCCTTTTTTATATACCATTTCTTCACTCATCGTCTTAGTTACCTACTGGTTTTTTACTGGTGGTAGGACCTCTTGTGAGTCCGCGCGGGTAGATACCACCCTGTAGATACCACCTATACCACCCTGCCTATTTCTGCCGTGAAGCAGTAATGCGTTCCAGTTTGAAGGGCGGGGCAGCCGTTCTCAAGGTGGGTGGCGCATTTATGTTGTAGATGTCTATGGGCTCCAGTAACCACTAAAAAACCGGGTGGGCTGTGAGCTCGTCCACTCATCGAAGCAATAAAAAAAGTTAATCTCATTGTTTTCGTCTTATGTTTATCTACAATTATCTATAAAAAAATGTACAAAATAATTATGATAATATAACGAAATATCACTTTTATTTCTCTGCACCGCGACCCATTAATATGTGTAAAAAGGCCCATTTTCAATAATAATTGCGGGCACGCTCGTCCTTACAATATATGAGCACATTAGACGGGAACGTGTCTTGCCGGGCTTAATCTACCGCTCGCTACGTCACCCCTGTCCATCGGAGCCAACCCTCGTCCTTACACCGTGTCCGATACAAAACGAACTAGTTTTATAAAACAACTAACCAAAATTCTCATCACTCAGTAGTGCTTCCAACAATGCCCAAATAATTTTGTGAATCTAATTATTTAATTAATGATAGGACATTTATTTGAATCTAAATAAAAAAAAATAAGTGGTTTTCGTGAGTTGCAGATAAATATAAAATATAATTTTATATAAATGATGTGATCAGTTGTAATGAATTGCTTACGATAGTCGATGTTATTATTTTTGCATAAATCGTACATGTTTCGAATGCAGAAAACCACAGTATAAACAATCTGAGCTGGACTCGTTAAAGACAACAATCTGTTGCGGTTCACAAACTTATTGAATGAGTCTTGTGTGTGTGCGGTACTCGAACTAGGAGTTGGGCCAGCGAGCGCGCAAGTTGCACCGCCTCTCGTATACAGTTAACCAACAAAGCTAGTCCTCGGAGTAGTGATGCTGGTTCGTTTATGAGTTAAGACATTCAAAACCGCTCAATATCCTGACCGGGTATGAAAGTTTAGTCGGCGCACGGCTTCACGTGGTCCGGGGTGGAGGGCGCGGGGTACGCCGGGAGGGCTAAACTATGCGAAGAATGCGCAATTAGTGAGCGAGCGAGCGTGTAAGGGGCCCGGCCGCGCCACTAGGCGGCGAACGCAGTAAGAAAATATAAAGAAGGGGCGGGCCGCCCGCGCCCGTTCTTTAGCGCCCCGCCCGCCTTCGGGCATAACTCCCGATTGTCTCCCGAGAAATCCTCCTTAGACCTGTCGCAACTCAACCCTTTCCTCGAGGATTTGCTTCGCATAGCTTCTGTTTGGGTCAGCGTGAAATTCTGCAAAGACGGACTCAACGCCTCGCTTCAGCACAAAGTTTACTAATCGATATTAAAATATCCTTTCTAAATTTATTGATGAATCGTCAGTAAAGCTAGAAGTTGATAAAAATACATTACCGATTCACAAAAATAACAAAACGTATTAATTAATAATTACGCTATGTTATAGATGTATGATAAGTAGTTAAAAGATAGAAACATTATTAAAACAAAAACACTGAACTGAACTAGATATTTTTAACTTTAAATCGTGCGATAACTGCTTTAATATTTTTCTCTATTCTACTAAATTTCTCAGGAGAATGCGTTATATTGATGAAAAAAGGGCCATTTTTAGGAAAACAATCGCGAAGTCATGCCCCAGGTACGGGGCACGACGTTAATGTGTTTCTGATGGATCTTCAATATCTCTCCGCTTGTCGTATAAATTACGTTTCGAAACGCCCGAAGCGTTTTTTTTTAAGAGTATATAAATTGCTTTAATCAGCTTCATAAAAGCAATAAACTGTCATAGGCGAATAAAATTTCTTTATAGAAAATCCTGACTTGTTAATATTTATTGATAATATTATCATATCCTGTTGAGCGAAAAAAAAAAACTTGCATATTCATAAAGTGTACGCACGCACAATTTCATCAAGCCCGCGTGCGCGAGAGCGTGGCCGCGTCGCGCTGCCGCTGGACCAAATTAGCTAACTAACGAACTAATAAATAATGATCTCTTGTTTTTCTATTCAACGTGGAATAGAAACGTTAAGTCGATCCTTCTCTGCGGCGGTACTATTTATAGCGGGATGCACACGACGTTTCGGGTGAAAGCACTCTTAATGTTCAATTCGCGGGCGAGGATGTCGCAACTCGACGTCGCGCTCACGAAGGATAACGCACGGCGCGTCTATTCCGTTCACAGATTCGTGCTAACGGCAATTTGTTAGAGTAGCCGCGCTCACTAATTTTAGCTTAACACCCGCCGTGAAAACTTTACGACACTGCCATAATTTCGAAGTAATTTCAGGAATGTTCGACTTAACAGTTTTCTACGGTACGTTTCTCGTGCTCTCTAAACTTTCAAATTAATTTTATATAAAAAAAAAACATTTACAAAATATTAGAATGAATATTTTTAATCAACTGATAAAATCATAATTTAAATGTTACGATGCATTCGTTGTATTGTATTGAATACTGTGGTACATATATTTAATTTTAGTAGTAGTATTATGTCCGATGTGATTTCAATTTTCGCTTGATCTATGTCGTGCGTAATGTACTTGTGTGGTAGGCATCTGATCCAAAGAGCACGCAAGGGACTAATTAAATTCACACCGATTCCACCAACCTCCCGTTTTCCATATCGAATTATCTGATATTAGTAAAATTTAAATAATTTATTTTGATCAATCCCTAAATCAGATATATTATTCATCAATAAATTGCGTGCTATCGAAATTGAATTTGTTCAGACGTTATATTTTTTTAAAGATAAATTTAATAAAAATGATTCGCGCGTTTCAAATTTTTCTGTTTCGTTGATAAAGTTTTACTCTTTAAATGAACAAATTACATTTAACAGATTCATAAAAAAGATATGATAAAAATCTTAAATGCTAATTTTGAAATAAATACAACAAAAAAACATTTGAATTTTACAATAAACGAGCTATAACGAAATTATTTCACAATGGCAGACTGGATTGACTTGGTCGATCCACCCCGCATTCCAGGCTGGCTGCAGTTTCAATGATTGAAAATAGCTATTCAAAATATTTTGAAAATTGTTTCATAACAGGATCGGCAGCGGGCTGCGAGATTGCATTGTACAACGCGCGTTTATCTCAATAAAGTATGCGAAATATCTCGCGGGCTATTACAGGCGACACGTAGCGTTGTTTTTTTTTTTTTTTTTTGTTTTTTATTAAATTCTATCTATCTATTCTAGGAAGGAACGAGTTAATAGCGAGGTATATTAAACTAAGGACAGGCAAAACGCGTACGAGAAAACAAGTCTCGTCACACATACAGGTGCTAGCTAGGCGAAAACTACGAGAAATTCAAGCCAAACTTAAAGTGGTGAGTTGATTTAGAATAAAAATTTGAATATCTGAAATATCTACGTTTGTTGGCGAAGTTGACGTGATATATAATATTTAGGACGGCGGAGTGATGAAGGAAAAAGCCATGCAGTCAATGAGCACGCTATCTAGCGCTCAGATCGTTGCGGGCCTACCGCACCCAGCGTACCACCATACGGTACTCAACTTGCAAAAGGCATGCCTCTGTGTTACTTGGTCGAGAAACAACTAAAACGCCTCTCAATCGTTTCGCTTCTACTATTTCAGGCATGCTGCCAAATGCACGTCCATACGATACAAAAACAAATAACAAAAATCGATTACCTACTGAATTCGCTTTACTCACACTTTTTAGTGTTCTTTTTTTTTAATTTATCTCTGATACATCAGCAAATGTCGAAAGACGCAAAATTACGCGGCCGTTTATCGAGTAACACATGTTCGAGAATCTGAAAAGAACGAAATGAGAAGCTGAAATCGTCAATTGTCAGTTAGCTCGGCCTGTTCACGTTTTTCGGCGTGACGTTATAAATAGAGCCGACCATTCATGGTTTTTCGGAAACTAAATCACCAGTACCTACCTACCTGCTTAAGTGTGTAGTTTTTAACATGTTTAGCGAGAATAACAAGAAAGCTTATTAGTCTTATGTACGTACGTACAAACGTTACGATATTTACCTAAAGTCGTCTAATTTATTGTTTTACAGCAATTTTGGCAGCCAGGCCTACAAGCCGGCACATCACAGGAGTAAGTTATTTTCGTTTATTACCTCGTCCCTTCGTACGAAGCTTTTCATTATTTTGTGTGAAACGTTTTACGAAAACAAAACCTTATTTAAAGAGCGAACGGTTCGTTCGTTTCGCAGAGAGTTGTCAGATCAAAAAAAGTCTTGTCGTTTCGAGGTCGTAATGTTTTAAATGAAACGTATAGATCAAAGAGTCGAAGTGAGTGCAATCTGTGTTTTATCCTGTGTTATCGTGCTATGAGAATATTATTATCACTGTTAAGCTAAATTTTGAAATATGTTGTTTTTATAGTATTCTTTTTTTATGTTTTGAAAATTAACTCAACATAATGAATAGAGAAACTCTGAATTAAGAACCTCGTGTATGATCGTTGCAGTCGGTTCAAAATAATAATAATATAGGATTGGTTTTCGTAAAAACTTGTCTATAATCTTTCACCTTTTGGAAATCGAATGTTAGCTTATTCGAGGACTAACGAATAAAAAAATCGTTTAACATTTTTTTATAATGTTATTATTAACAAATAAATCTGGAAAACAACATGAAACTGATTCTGTCATGCTAGAAACAGCTGTAAAATCTATTAAACAAGAGCTAAATTAGTGTAGAAGAATTATTAGTGTAGAATAGCAAGGCATTCAGGGTTCCGTTTGAAATCACTTTACATATTAACAAAAACAAAATGCAAAGCCCGACAGAAGTTGTCGTTGCCTAAGGAATAAGACGCCTGGTGTACTGTACTGTGCGCTTAGTACGAGTTGTTTAACGTTCTCGATAGCGTAAAAGTTAACTCAAATTTGTATGCAGTTGTAACAGCGCCTCTAGCGGCAAACGTAGGTAAACGTTCCAACTCCGTACAAATTTGAGTTAACTTATACGCTATCGAGAACGTTGTAGCCCACTGAGTTTCTCGCCGGATCTTCTCAGTGGGTCGCATTTCCGATCCGGTGGTAGAATCTGCGAAGCACTGCTCTTGCTAGGGTCAGTGTTAGCAACACTCCGGTTTGAGCCCCGTGAGCTCACCTTCACACGTTAGGGTGAAGCTGAAATAGCCTCTCAAGCTTATCAGCATAGGTAGGAAAAAAAAAGAGAAAGTTAAAAAACTAGCACTAAGCGCACAGTAAGTACAGTAAGTACAGTGCCGGTGTTCAAATCCCGCGTGCAAACACCAATTTTTCTAATGTCATACGTACTTGACACATGCTCACGAACGACATCCATGATGAATGAGTAACCTCTTGTAATAAAAAATCAAACAGGCAAATATTTAGAAATTTGCGTTCTTATTGAAAACAGGGCATAATGCGAGACCACACGGAAATGTTCCACCAAACTGTCTATTTCTATCGCAAATCCGCCCTTTGTAATCCATTTCGAAGGCTGGTATAATAGTTAAACAAATAATAAGCGACTTGTTACAACAAAGCTAACCAAAGATCCTGGCACGACTTCCAGTGTGAAGCCTTTCCCCGGTGCGGGCTACAAAGGCGTCCCCGGTGTCGGAGGCGTCGGAGTACCGAGCGGCACCGACGTGGCGCCGCCGCCGCCCTGGGAGGGACGCGCCATCGCCACACACAAACTGAGACTCGTAGAGTTCTCCGCCTTCGTCGAACATCCCCGGGATCCTGATACGGTAACTATACACACAAACGCACACGCGCGCACACACACACACACACACACACAACAGACAAATGTCCGTTGCTTAATGAGTAAGACGCACCGGTCATCGTTCTCATCGAACCCGTCGCTTGTGATGAAGGGCTCGACGAGTAAATTAACCCACAGATACAGCCCACTGAGTTTCTCGCAGGATCTTCTCAGTGGTTCGCGTTTCCGATCCGGTGGTAGATTCTGCGAAGCATGGCCCTTGCTAGGTTTCGTGTTAGCAACGTCGTCAGGTTTGAGCCCCGTGAGCTCACCTACTAGTTAAGGTTACGTTGAAATAGCCTCTCAAGGCCAGCAGCTTAGGTAGGAAAAAAAAGACGCATTGTGTTGCGCGATGCCACTGGTGGTAGGACGTCTTGTGAGTCCATGCGAGTAGGTACCACCACCCTGCCTATTTCTGCCGTGAAGCACAAATGCGTTTCGGTTTGAAGGGCGGGGCAGCCGTTGTAACTATACTGAGACCTTAGAACTTATATCTCAAGGTGGGTGGCGACATTTACGTTGTAGATGCTTATGGGCTCCGGTAACCACTTAATACCAGGTGGGCTGTGAGCTCGTCCACCCACCTAAGCAATAAAAAAAGACTATGTCTGTATTTAAATCGTAGGGTAGATAAAAATAATCCTAAATGAATATGTTAAACGCGTTCGTGATACGTATAAATGTCGTGTAACAAGAATCTGATGCGCAATCACACGACCTGTAATTGTATGAATCAGTACGGCCGTGCACCACTAACCTGCCCATATCTGTCACGAAGCAGTTGTGAATTCTGGTTCGAAGGATGAGACGGTCGTCATAGAGTACAATTTAAATTTCGACCTTACGTCTCAGCACATAAGGCGTCATTCGCGTTGTCATGTATATGAGCACCGATAAAAAACCTATTATCAAAAAGTCCGATCGGAGAATCCGACAGCAAAAATACGTCACAACGAAAACGATTATAAGCCAAACCCGAGGACAGCTTAGAAAAGTTTATTCCTTTAATTGTCCCGTACTGAGTTGTCAACTCGTGGAAGTCGACTCCCAAACATGAGGAAGTATGCCGAAATGAAGCCGCTAAAAGTTTGGCGAGCTCCCTTAGTATGATCGGGAACAGTAACGCAATCAATAAAACTTAATTTGAATGAAAATTTTGTGTTGGTTGCCTTTTAATGTTTTAAAAATACACATTTCGATTTAAAGTACTTTCGGAATGTTCTAGATAATTGTTAAGTTAATAAAGTCAAGTAAAGTTAAGTTAATAAAGTCAAGTTCATAAAAAAAAACAATTGAAATTTCAATGTGTGGAAATTTGTTAATTAATAACGAAACGAAATTGACGATTATTTAAAAAAAAAAAATTTTGTTTTATTATTTCTTTTGATGCCCATATGTATATATATATATATATATATATATATATGTTTCCCAATAATCCAGACAAACCGAGCAAATCGATTAGAACAATACCTTAAAGCAAGCGATCGAAATCTCAAAGGGAAGACTTCTTTCTCAAAACGATGATGATATCGCAGCAATAAATTATGTATTTATATGTGTGGCCTTGTTGATTGGATTGATACATGATTTCTAGAAATTGTTCCCCTCGACACACTCAGAATCCTAGACAACTAGAATGCTAGAACCAGATCAAAGATTATGAGCCCTAAATTCTATTCTTCTAAATTCAATTATATTGTACAGTTAAACAGCAACTTTAAATAAATAAAAAACTTAACAGAAAATGCAGTGGAATATGTCTACTAGTCATTATACATTCGTTGAACAAGTAATTTTACTTTACATCGGCAAACAAAGTTCTGAGCCATAATCAATTAAAGTTATTGGTCGGGAGACAGGTTAATTAATTAATTTCCTTCAAAACTAAAGTTATATATCGAATCTCTATGTAGAGAATTTTCTCTGTCAAATGTGTTTTTGTTAGTTATACATCATGTCGCCTTTCCCCAAATTAGCATTCCCTACGCCCTGTGAACCGAATACTGATATACATATTTATATACGTTTAAATATATAAATGTTTGTCACTCGAAAATGTTGCTCGATGTGGGAATCGAACGTATGACCCTCAGCCCGGCGGATGCAAATGCTAAAACCACGCCGTCGATTCCGAAAAGTCTTACCTTATATCTGACCATATTTTTATGGTTTTCTTTGTATGACTATATTTATCGCTAGCTTTTTATGAAGATGTTAAATTTAAAAAAAAACAGCACGTGTATTGAAAAGCCAACTTAATCAATATTCAAAACGTTGTGGCACAAAAACGTAGGCGTATTCCAATGATGATCTCAACCTTGACACGACAACAGACGAGACCGAAGCGAAAACAATTTTAAAGGCAACAATGAGATTGAAAGTGAAACGCCTTGATCTTTTAATGTCAAATAATGTACGCGAAACGTAATGTTTTCGACAATCCGAGTGCTGAACACGTACCTTCTAGTCTGAACTGTTCTAAAGGCGAATAGTAATCAGAGGAAAATAAATGTTATTGAAGTTAGGACGTATTGTAAGGCCTCACGAATAAGTGTCACCTTATTTTTGCCGCGTAATACCCGTGCGTTCAAATCTGAAGGACGGAATATCCACTATGCAATACTATTCAGAATAAGAATGATAACAATAACTGGGAACAAATCCTTCCTTGTGTTATAGGTAGTAGAGACTGATAAACAATTTTTATATGTCTAAATATATACATATCCTCCTTGCGTCGTATTATTCACTGCTGACGGTCGTCACCCCCCTTTTGTATCACCTTCGCACGTACGATCTTTCTCAATCTATTCATGGAATATGTGGAATCAAGAGTGGTGCGGATCTGGTTGGACCAACGTATTGGGCTGCGCCCCCAAGGCCTTTTCCCATCCACCTTACAGGTCAGAGTATATTCATATATAGGTAAGGAACACCCAGACAAAGAGCAAACAAACCTATTCATCACACAATGCGTGTCCGCTTTTTTTTTATTGCTTAGATAGGTGGACGAGCTCACAGCCCACCTGGTGTGAAGTGGTTACTGGAGCCCATAGACATCTACGACGTAAATGCGCCACACACTTTGAGATATAAGTTCTAAAGTCTCAAGTTTAGTTACAACGGCTGCCCCACCCTTCAAACCGAAACGCAATACTGCTTTACGGCAGAAATAGGCAGGGTGGTGGTACCTACCCGCGCGGACTCACAAGAGGTCCTACCACCAGTAGTAATGCGGGAATCGAACTTACGACCCTCGGCGCCATAGTTAGAGGCAGTCGATGCGTACAAATTTTTAAATTATCGGTAAATAATAATGTTGTTTCAGTACCCACCGAGCACGGCGCCGGCGCAACATCTCTTCGTTCACATAGGCGGTACCGTCACATACGCGGATCCTTTATTAGAGGTACGTGACATGCAGCGCTTAAGCGATAAGTACCGTCAGCATAACAAGCATATACGTGTTCTGGCTTCATTTGGGCTGCAATTCCACGAACGGCTCTTGGTCTTGTGTTGAGAAGATAAGTCATAAAAAATCGGTTGTCTGTAAAGTCGGTTTACTGACGATAACTGAACGTGACAACGTCATATATAAGAAAATACTGATGGAATGGTTTAATTTTTTTACTCATCGTGAAATAGTTCTGTTAAGTTATTGTTATAGTTTTGTCAATTATAGCATGACCTGCAATCGCTGCACTAGCGGACCGATGCTATTTATTTTATGCGCGCGCCCTCGCTTGCACTTCAAGCCTTAAATGGAACGCCTCAGAGCGAGATAACGCCGCATGAGTCATCGAATTATAAGACGTTGTCACGTCAAAAATTATGTCGAAACTGCGAACAGTCGATACGGATTGATTAAGTTGTATCAGGCTGTGGATCTGTATGAGGCCTTCATGCAAAAGTGTCCTAAGCTTACCATAGTCACTATGGAGATAATGAGGTTTGAATTTACTTTTTTACACTACTTCGGTACTTACACTACTACACTAAAGCCATCTGTTATCTACGGGTAAGCTAGGAACTAGGGATTAGCCGGTTTTGAATCAAAATTTATTATTAAATTTAAAATTTATAATTAAATTGCAATATATATTGCAAGCACGAATATGAAAAAAATTGGGTTAGGCCACTTTTGCGCTGACGACCCTGATATGTACGACCACGTTAACAGTCAGAAAGACTATCATGTTAATGTCATTCTCGTGTCATGTCAATGTCTCATCTAAAATTTTGATACATACATATCGATCGGTGAAAGGTATGGAGGGTAACTCTACCCTCCATAGTGAAAGGTTATTTGAATTAATCGACATTTTTTCAACTTTACAGTAGAGCCATTTAAAGTTCAAAATTTAGAAAATTATTATAACAAAAAAACTTCTTCAGCTATTTGAATTGAGTAAATTTAATTGGAGTTCAATTAAAAACATCGAATTGTTGATGCTAATACCAAATAAAATGGACCTTTAATTACTAAATGTCGCGTATTAAACGAAATGTTGCTTAAATAAACCAAATAGTTTTTTACCCTTCGATATAAATTATGTATGGAATATTGAGATGACATGACCATTGATGGGATGAGTTTTTTTAAGGGATTTTATGATCTGGTAACTAAGGCCTTTAAGTCATGTCTTATTTTAACTTATATTCATATTTTTATGAAAAATGATAATATGGAGTGAAATGAAATGATATGAAGATGATTAATTTGAGAAATTAATCAACTGGGATCAAATTAAATGAAATGAGATGATATGGGATAAAATATAATCTCAGTAAAATGGTGGTCATTTACTAAGATTCTTTCAGTGGATTTTTTTCGAGGATCCCGTGAAATTAAGTCCAGCGGCACTTTCACAGATATTAAACAGTTAATAAACCACCGTTATTACACATTTAAACTTGAAGAAACACCAAATAGACAACAAATCACACAGCTTCACTCCTCGCGTTCCCGTCAAAAAGTCCGTTGGGATAAGTCCCCCACTCACAGTACAAATTGTCTATCCTTTTTTGACAGAATATCTCTATTTAGTCTAATATGGATTTGGCTGCTGGATATTCTCACGTTCAATTTCGTCCACAGTCAGTAGACGTTCAGCAGATAAACGACAAATTCCCCGAGAAGAAGGGCGGTCTGAAGGAACTATACGAGAAAGGTCCGAGGAACGCCTTCTTCCTGGTCAAGTTCTGGGCGGATCTCAACACGAACAACCTCGACGACCCCGGCGCTTTCTACGGCGTCACTAGCGTGTTAGTATGCTCCTTGCGCAGTTCACCGTGATCAGTGCGAGTTTCGTAACAGCGTCCCTAGCGGTAAACTTACACAATCGTTCCAACTCCATACAAATTTGAGTTAACTTTTACGCTATCGAGAACGTTAAAAAACTCGCACTAAGCGCACAGGTGGTGAAGGAAGCGTTTTTGATGATGAAAGGACATTAGAAGCTGATGTTGCTATTGGAAACGTGGTCGTCAATGTTTCTTACTATGCGCCTGGTATTGCTGAGGTCCATGGGCGACAGTGACTACGCTCTATTAGATGGCCCATCAGACGATATAAAAATCATTTTAATTCATTTCTCTACACCCTGTATTTATTTAAAGATTCTGATACAGTAGGGTTAAACTACGCTACAATCGATGCCATAAATCAAAATCAATTACTTACACCAGATTCAGTATTGGCGGTGATGTGGCATTCTGTGAAATTTTATTTTCAGCTATTTTTTTCTCATTCTGTAATTAATGATTTGCTTCGTATAATGCATCTGTTTGAAATAACCTATTAGAATCGATTGTCGAATCGATGTAAAAGAATGTTTCGATTGGTCATATAAATATCTCCGAGTAAATTTGAGTTTAAGTAATAAAGTCGATTCGACTAAAAAGAGAAAATCAATATTAGTCGCGAGAAATGTCTGATCGTTTTTTTTTTTTTGTGACATACGTTAATAGCAATAAGATATTATCTTCAACAAAAAATACTAACATCGACGTGTATACGAAATTAAATGGGAATTATTCTGATTACAGATACGAAAGTAATGAGAACATGACGATAACGTGTAGCACGAAAGTGTGTTCGTTCGGGAAGCAGGTGGTCGAAAAGGTGAGAGACGCTTTGTACTTTATGTCACATTAACATAAAGTTGAATTTCGTTTGAATATACACAGGAGAAAAAATTTTAAATTAAGATTTATCAAGTACTTTAATCTTATAGTATTGTTTAAAAATACAACCACAGAAACTGAAGTATTTAATTGTAACTCACAAATAAAAAAATAAAAAAGTACAGTCCTAAATGGGATCTTAAATCATATACAGTATATATATAGAGTTAATATCGATATTGTATATCGGTGATTCTTTATGCCATACAAACCAAATTAAACTATCGAAAAAACTGACGTCATTAGTCGCGAAAAATATCCCTAAGACCAAAATATTTGGAACGTTGTGAAACGTAAACAAAATTCAAATCGACTAATACAACATCGAATAATCGATAATTTAAGTTACAACTGGCCAACACTATCACAATTTTTTATAGCAGGGATATTGTGTTTTGTATATTTCGCATATCGATAAGAAAAGTGATAGTAGAAGTAAAGTCATTTGTCATTAGTAGTGCTTAAAGTTTTATTAAAAATAACGATTTACTTCGCCCCATAAAGATTTTTATCATAGAAATTTTATACATAGTTTATTACATTTTATTTTATATATACACAAAAATAAGTATTTCTGCAAAAAAATGCAGTATACTTCTCACCTCGTTAATAGTTGATTTCCCCTGTATTGATTTATTTATATTGATTTACCGGGACTTTAGTTTAATTAAAATATTAATATAAAAGAATTAAAAAAATTAATATAAACATTTAATTTAAATTATAATAAGTATTTAAAGCCTTTAATCTCTTTTAAAAATAGTAAAATAAAAATTAAACAGGAAACATAATAAACTATTCCGAACTGAACTCTCTTTTTACTGAATGACACAGAAGAATAATTGTAAATAGCATGTCTTTAACAAAAACCGACTTCAAATAGAAAAAAAAAGATTTTCCAAAACAAATTAATATATACTAAAAACAATGATAATCGAAATCGGTTGGCGTGATATAGAGTTATTGAGTTATTCATCTATTTGTCGCGCCTGTAATTAATGCAAATTTAAAACTTATATGGTTTTCTCATGGATACCATTATCAGAACTGGACTAAATTGAAATGGTACCACACAGGAAGCGTCAGCTTTCTAATAAAAAAAATAATCATCAAAATCGATTCACCCAGTCAAAAGTTATGAGGTAACAAACATAAAAAAAACATACAGTCAAATTGAGAACCTCCTCCTTTTTTGAAGTCGGTACAAAATCCTTTTTAAAAACTAAAGAGTTTTAAATAATAAAGGTTTTTCTTTGCATTTGTAATTTACATAAATAAATAAATGAATAATTTGGACAGGTGGAAACTGAATACGCCCGGTTCGAGGGCGGTCGCTTCGTGTACCGCATCCACAGGTCGCCGATGTGCGAGTACATGGTCAACTTCATACACAAACTGAAACATCTGCCCGAGAAGTACATGATGAACAGCGTACTAGAAAACTTCACTATACTACAGGTGATTGTCCGATACTTGAGTAATGATGCTAAATGTTTTCGCGTTCGGTGAAGCTAGTGTTTTCCTACCTATGCTATCTCACGGAGCTCTAACCTGGTGACATTACTAACACTAGCCCTAGCAAGAGCAGTGCTTCGCAGAATCTATCACCGATCGGAAACGCGACCCACTGAGAAGATCCGGCGAGAAACTCAGTGGGCCGTGTCTGTGGATGGAGCTAGTATGAGTATTAATAGTAAAAACCTTAGAAGTCATGTCTCAAGCTTTGGACGTCTGTGGGCTCCGGTACCCGTCTAAGTAATAAAACTTCGCTCACCGATTTGACAACTCACTGTCGCCTCGATAAAAGAGTGATAAGTTTTTTTCTTAATTCGCAGGTAGTTTCAAACCGAGACACGCAAGAGACATTACTGTGCGCCGCGTTCGTTTTCGAAGTGTCGAACAGTGAGCACGGGGCGCAGCATCACATCTACAGGCTCGTCAAAGATTGAACCGCCCAGGGGCCCGACGCTCCGCCTTGAGATTCCATTCCCGACAGTGCCGGATCGAACACGAGTGTCAAACGTAAACGAAATCGACTAAAACTTGGTAGTCGATTCGATGTGGTAACTCGTTAACAGCACATTATCAACTAAATCATCGACTAAACAGATCTCGGTGCCAAAACATATGAAATATCGATTTCACATGCGGTAGTCGATTTTAAATATCGATATCTTAGTATTCCGTGTGCTACAATTCGTTCGTTTTATACATCCCTAACTTTCAGTTTACAGTTTTTTTTTAATTTATTTATCGATTCAGATAAAGTGTTATTGTACGGTGCCTATTATTTTTATTTGAATCACATCGAAATACAAATACGTTAGAGACATTTGTGTTCGTGATTTAAAAAAAAAAAGATAGAAATGACGTGGAAATAACATAGAACAATAAGATATAATTACGAAAATTATACGAATTTGGACAATCTAATTGGAAACTAGAGAGACATTAACAATAATTTTTATTAATTAAACGTAAGACTGATCGGACGTAGTAAAACGAATTGTTCAAATGGAAGTTTATTTTTAAAGATATTAAAAGACGTTTTATCGTGTTACAGACTTAACAAAAACGTTCGGTCAGTGAGTGAATGATATTGAATGTTACCAACCACGTCTAAATGTAAGTGAGCACAAAAATCAAAAAGTTAGCGAGTAATTGAAAACACAAAAACGTTTGGTTCGTATTTTCATATTCGTAAAGTTTATAATTGCCAATTTTAATTAATAACGCTATATTAAGTGCTCGCTCTACGATCAACGGCATTACAAAATATGAAAAGGAAACGAAAACATATAGATTTGAGCCTAAAATAGCAAAATGTGATCTGAGAATAACGCTACAAGTATTTTTGTAATTAAATGTTTATTGTATAGCTCAATTTTTTAATACTGTCTTTAGTCATAGTTCACTGAACTGTTTCATAAAGCCTCAATTATTATATTCTAAATCAATTTATGGTTGAAAACTGTTTTATTTTCGTATACTGGCCACTAGAAGAAATTAAAAAATTTTTTTTTAAAAAAACCTTCAGAATAAAACGTCGGCACAGATAAAGCAAACTATCCGAAAATAATATTACATAATCTGAACTTGAACTTATAATTTAATTCAGGCCGTCAATAAAATTGACTAAGTTATTGGGCAATATATACTAAAATATATATGTCACTGGTATTCTATGAAACAGAATCGTGAACTATACGTTGTTTTAATACATTTCTTAGTCTTTCTAAATCATGTTTTTAATTGATTTCGAGTACTTTTATTTTGAAAAAAAAAATCACGAGAGTAACAATAATTAATATACAATTAGGTACATTAAAGATATGAGATGTTCAATATACATATTGTAAAATAAAGTATCTCTTATAAGGAATTAAAAAAAAAAAGTTATTGAATTGAATACACACAGTGCCTCTATAATTATGTTACATTAACATAAATTACTTGAGCGTGTTTAGTCTTTTCACTGTATTTGTTTAAAGAATTTAATAGAGTATTGCTGCAGTGAAAAGATTAAATTTAGACATTTTTTAGTGTAGTCTTTACCCTGAATAAATAGTTGTATTAATTATTATATGACTGTTGAGGATGTGTCTAAAAATTTTTTATTTGTTGTGCCTGTGGCACGTTTTTGTCGCTTCGTTTTTATTCGAAATTTAAATGCACCAATGAGGTTTCGTCACTCGGTCTAGTGCTGTCTTCGTCTGATTCGTTTGATTAAGAGGCGATACGAATAGAAAAAAAAAACTCATCTATTTTTGATAAGATGTAACAACTGTCACTGTCATTCGATTGTCAAAATAAGCGACTTAAAGAAAATACATATTGTCGTGCTGAGTTATTAAAAACAATAACAATACGCCTCTTATGTTCTTTTATAAGTTTTTTCTCTTCATTTAGTACTTTTGATATTGCCTTTAATTATAGTTATTTTTTTTTTATAATTTGCAATTTCGAAATGTAAGTAAGATAGACCTATAGATGTAATTTGCCGATAAATTTATTGAAGTCTTTGCCACACTGAAGCGATTCGATGTTGTTGTTTTATGTGAATAATCTCAAAATTATATTCTAGCACGTTTTCAGAATCTGCCGAGAAATTGAAGATGTTCATCATATATAATAAATATTAATAATATATTTATTTTCTAATAATAACCTCCTGAATATGTATATATTTATTGACTATTGCGCCTTGATTGATCGTCTCGTTACTCTTATAGATAACGCGATTCTAACTCTTCATGCCAAAAGACCGTTTGTCTTCGTTGGTGCTTAAATAACCCAGTGAATTGGATATCGCACCAGTCAGTTTCTTTGTTAAAGACACTTTGTGTTCACTGTGCTTAGTGCGAGTTTTTTAACGTTCTCGATAGCGTAAAAGTAACTCAAATTTGTATGGAGTTGGAACAGCGCCCCTAGCGGCAATCGTAGGCAAACGTTTCAACTCCATACAAATTTGATTTAACTTTTACACTATCGAGAAAAAAATTCGTACTAAGCACACAGGTTCGCTTAATGATGTTACTTCTATGTTTCCGGTAGCCTTTTCCTAAGTTCTGGATTGGGTATATCGAATCTAGACGCATAGCTTATATTTAAAATGATAAGTAATAAAAATTATTTCACTTCAGAACGTCACCTATTTCTTTAACTGTTGCTCACTTTATTTGCTTCTAACGCACTCTCCTGTTTTTAACTTTATATATTAATACGCGAACATAAGTATATATTTGAGATATGAGTATGATCAAAATGAAAATTGGCAGCTAACAAGAGACTTTTCAAAAACAAAGGCGGATTCAGAATTCTGTTTTCAAAGTACAAAGTGCACATTTAAACTAAACTTAATGTTTTTTTTTTTTAAACGATTTATTGATATGCGGCAATTTTTAAGTGGCAATTGATTTGATCTCTCTTTTAGTCAAATATTTTTTAGGGTACTCCCGTTATCGCGTGCGCGTTCGCTCATTTTAATTTTAAACCGATGTTTTTAATTAATTCGTGCATTATTAAAATGAATAGGCCTTTAGTTATAACAAGACATGCGGTAAGAAAATATCTTTAGATAATTAAATGATAAGAGATTTTTTTTGTATTTATTTAATAGATTTATATTAGATAAATTGTAAAGTAAACGTAGCATTAAGGATTTTTTTTTTTAAATATGGCGATGGTCGTTCAACATTTTCAGTGACGTTTTCACTGTAGTACTTAAGAGGAACTTAATTTTTCTTTTCGTTGCGGTAAATATATCTTTGTGTAAATGTTTTTACAGTTTCTTTTTTAACAGCAAATTTTAGCTGGAATTTTGTATAACGTTATTCAGACGCAAGCGTGAAAGATCTGCACCGTTGTGATTACGAATGTTATAATGATGTACTCAAACGAGATTAAAACAGTGAGTTTAAGTTGGATTTATGCGGTTCATATTGTTTGAAGATAATTGCAATATTTGATTATGGCAACTCTACGGTTTTTTTTAAATAGCAACACTAGATGTCAAAACTATTAGTTTAACAGGTTGTTGACCCGAGGCATAGTAGCTAAACGCGAGTTCAATACTAGAGATAGACCACTGAATTATTGATATTTTTGAAAGTAGCAAGCTTTGGAAGCTTTTTAACAATTTGTTCAATGAGAGTAGTGCAGATTTGAATCTGTTATACCAGCCGTAGAGTTGTCCGTAAATAATTTAGGTGTTATGTATTTGTAAATATATGAATATGTGTTAGTGCATTTCTCTGAGTTGATTGTTTGTACAAGACTTTCATATCGACAATCTGCCATATCAACACGAGAAATAAATAGTCGTTCGTTTTGAAGGAATCATTTAAATCGAATACACCTTATTGTGTACGAAGTTTTATTGTAAAATAAATTTAATATTGTTTTTATTTTTTCTGTTGAATTTTAAGTGATTTCTATCAACTTCGGACGGCCGTGTACAGTATTTTAAATTTAAAACAATACGTTAAAGATTTGTATGAAAAAATTTAATTATATTGTCTTCATAAAATCTAGTTTGTTATTATTTCTCGAGATTAATTGATTATAATGTTTCGATTAAAACATCGATAGCATTCGTTATTCGATAAACGTTATCGATATGTTTCGTTCAACCCCAACGGGGACTAAAATTTTGATAGCAAAATAGAACTTATTAAACTAATAACTACTTATTAAGCTAATATAAAATAACATTGTATATTATTTTTCAATCACTAGATTGATGTACAAGCTTAGAACCTGCTGTTGTGTTGATTTTTCATAGTCCTGGTTTGAAGGGTGCAGCAGTCATTGTACCTCTTAAAAAGAGAATTAGGACTCATGTCTCAAGGTGGGTCTATCGATCTCCTGTAGTTACTTGACACCAGGTGGGCTGTGAGCCCGCAAATACGCCACATATATAATGCAGGTACATATAATAAAAAGTGTAGGAAGACAAGTAGTATGAAACTACCTAATATGAGAGTTTTAAAGATCAATTTTTGTGAAGGATTTTTTTCGTAATAATGACGGTAGTTATATATTTTATTATTTATACCATCTGTATTCTATGCTTGGTACCATTTACTGGTGGTAGCTAGACTTGTGAGTCCGCACAAGTAGTACCATCTTGCCTATGCCTGTCGCGAAGCAGTAATGCATGGTTTGAACGTTGGGGCAGCCGATGTTTTAAGTTTGTTGGCGGGATTAGTATTCTTGATATCTTTGGATCCCGGTAACTACTTAACACCAGGTGGGCTATTAGCTCGTTAGTCTGTCTAAGCGATAAAATAATCTACTAAGGAAAATTTATTTTTCCTCGCACGGGCGAACCACCCCACTTAGTCGGTTAAATTGTATCAGATTAACGAGAGCATAGACATAATTGTCGTTACGTAACACATCAGTTGGCGTTGAATCTCAAATAAAATAACTTGAACCAAAGATCGAATGTGCTTAAGAAGGCTTTAACCCAGGATTTCCAATCAAGACCTCATTTTTGCCCTCTCACATTTAGAGCAGCTCACGCTTTGGATTTCAGTAGTATTTTTTTTTTATTGCTTAGATGGGTGGACGAGCTCACAGCCCACCTGGTTTTAAGTGGTTACTGGAGCCCATAGACATCCACAACGTAAATGCGCCACCCACCTCGAGATATAAGTTCTAAGGTCTACAATTCTTAAAAAATACCTACGCAGTATTTAGTAGAAATTAAAGTTCAAATTTTATACAAACATGAAAACAAAATACATTAACATATTCATTGGAGTGTGGTGTTCTCTTTTAATTTTCGGATATTCAAGTAAGTATTAATTATTTATTACAATTAGATACTTATATTAAAAAAAAACAATATTATTTATTAGTTTTTGAAGAATTTTTAGCCCAGTTTTCGCTTATTATAATATACTTTTTACAAATGTCCTTCTTCAAACGAGGTTTGTGGAGAGTATTAAGTGGTAGGCAGCGGCTTGGCTTTGCCCCTGGCATTGCTGAAGTCGAAGGGCGACTGTAACCACTCACCATCGGGTGGGCCGTATGCTCGTCTGCCTACAAGGGCAATAAAAAAAATATATTTTCGTATAACATAGAACGGCTTATAGCGTTATTATCCTTGAATGTTAATTATGCCTTTTTTTTTTATTGCTTAGTTGGGTGGACGAGCTCACAGCCCACCTGGTATTAAGTGTTTACTGGAGCCCATAGACATCTACAACGTAAATGCGCCACCCATCTTGAGATGCTTGGTAGCACCAGTAATTAGTCGAATTACTTGTCAGGACTTGAACAACTTCGTCGTCGGCTGGATTGACTGGAATCTGTGTCTCGACCCTGAAGGTGGTCCAAACGGGGCCGATAATTTCGTTGACTCCCCCATCTTAGTGTACGGTGACAAAGATCAATTTACCAAACAGCCAATGTTCTATGCCATGGGACACTTCTCCAAGTTCATATACAGAGGCTCAAGACGGATTCAGGTATCGCGTAGGAGTCTCGCTCCAATAGAGAGCGTGGGATTTTTGACACCCAACGGGAGCCTTGTGTTGGTCTTACAAAACAGGTGAGGTTTTAATACAATGGCGGGATTTATGTAGAAACGCAACATGTGTGAGATGATTTTTCAATTTGCAAATACGAAATAACTTTCCCGCCCTCGGTGCAGCCTCAAATATTGTTTAGATTGTACGGTTGAATTTTAACCGAATTACTTTCTGATGGAACAGATTGCATTCGTTATAATAAGAATTCGACAATACAAAAGCTTCGTCTGAATTGAACAAGTATATACATATGTACTTAATTAACATCACGGTTGTTTTTTTAGGAGACAAAGAGAAGGCTAAGCAATCAAAGAATCATAAAACTAACCATGGAGGATCGCTCGATCAAAACATTAGATATCAACCTGAAAAAAATTGTAGAACGTGAAAACGTTTAACAAATATTAAGATAAACCTAAAATCCCGCGTACGATGGTGTTATTGAAAAACCTTTTAAAATCATTTCATCATCAAAAATGTTTTTTATTTTAAATACAAGTTTCATATTTTGGTGTTCCTGTTAATGTATGGGTCATTGACCCAGATGATAGAGTTAATACCAAAATCGAATTGTTATTGATATTGTGATAAATAGAGAAAAAAAATATGACGTTAATTTTCTCTTTAATATTCTTCGCTATATCGGCCTTTTCTCTGTCCGTTAAAGAATGTGACCGTCTGAGATACATAATTAATTATTCTCGAGCGTTTGATAGCGAATAAATAATATTTATAAATAAAGTTTTAGTAAAATAATTAAATAATTATTTTCTTAGGTATAATAAAGAATTTTCTAAAAGTCTATTTAAAACGAAACGTAATAAATAAAATTAAGAAAATGTTAATTAGCCATATAAAATCAGAATAGGAGAGTCATACCTGACTTAGTTTTCAGTGGTCACAAACACGACGCTATACCTATTTGTAATAAAAAGTACCTTACACTATTATTTCTCTATTGAAATTCGTACAATTCTTAGAATACGCAATATTTAGTAGAAATTCAAGTTCAAATTTTATACAAACATGAAAACAAAATACATTAACATATTCATTGGAGTGTGGTGTTCTCTTTTAATTTTCGGATATTCTAGTAAGTATTAATTATTTATTACAATTAGATACTTATATTAAAAAAAAACAATATTATTTATTAGTTTTTGAAGAATTTTTAGCCCAGTTTGCGCTTATTAAAATATACGTTTTACAAATGTCCTTCTTCAAACGAGGCTTGTGGAGAGTATTAAGTGGTAGGCAGCGGCTTGACTCTGCCCCTGGCATTGCTGAAGTCGAAGGGCGACTGTGACCACTCACCATCAGGTTGGCCGTATGCTCGTCTGCCTACAAGGGCAATAAAAAATATATTTTCGTATATCATAGAACGGCTTATAGCGTTATTATCCTTGAATGTTCATTATGCCTTTTTTTTTTTATTGCTTAGATGGGTTATAGCGTTATTATCCTTGAATGTTCATTATGCCTTTTTTTTTATTGCTTAGATGGGTGGACGAGCTCACAGCCCACCTGGTATTAAGTGTTTACTGGAGCCCATAGACATCTACAACGTAAATGCGCCACCCATCTTGAGATATAAGTTCTAAGGTCTCAGTATAGTTACAACGGCTACCCCACCCTTCAAACCGAAACGCATTACTGCTTCACGGCAGAAATAGGCAGGGCGGTGGTACCTACCCGTACGGACTCACAAGAGGTCCTACCACCAGTGATTACGCAAATTATAATTTTGCGGGTTTGATTTTTATTGCACGATGTTATTCCTTCACCGTGGAAGTCAATCGTGATCGATTTGTTAAGTACGTATTTCAATAGAAAAATTGGTACCCACCTGCGGGATTCGAACACCGATGCATCGCAACAACGAATGCACCGGACGTCTTATCCTTTAGGCCACGACGACTTTCTTCAATAAGGACAATGTTACAAATTGCATCAATTTAATACTTTGCAGCTGATATTTCTTGTCGAAGTCGGGATGTCGGAATCCCGGGTCGTTCGATCGTTTGCGTTTGCGATGCTAACTATTGCGATACAATAACTAGAGATAAACCAAATCCGGAAACATACGTGGCATACACTAGTACCAATGTAAGTTGAACGAATTGCTTTATGGTAGCAGTCGACCACTTCGATAAAGCGGCACGACACGAGAGCCGTCGTGACATCGTGGCCGCCGTTAACTACATTCCCGATCCTGCGGACAGAATGGAAAGCAGTCAAAGTCGCCCCAAACACGTCATTTCGAATCCTCCCGATCCACTAACGGTGATTTTAGGTACCTCAAGCACCGGTCATCGTTCTCGTCGAACCCGTCGCTTGCGACGAAGGGCGAGCCCTTTGAGTTCGACGAGTAAATTAACCCTCAGACACAGCCCACTAAGTTTCTCGCCGGATCTTCTCAGTGGGTCGCATTTCCGATCCGGTGGTAGATTCTGCGAAGCACGGCTCTTGCTAGGGTTCGTGTTAGCAACGTCATCAGGTTTGAGCCCCGTGAGCTCACCTACTAGTTAAGGCGACGCTGATATAGCCTCTCAAGGCTATCAGCTTAGGAAGGGAAAAAAAAGAAAAAGGTAGCAGTAGTTTGTCGGCAATGCATGTTTTCTGCGACCATTATATTTCCTTAAGGGATACGTGATACCACTATGTCATTTAAAATATAACTTGTAATCAAAAAGCATACTCTTTCAGGACGGACTTCGTTTCTCTAAAAGTCAGGGTCAAGTTACGCACGATGAACAATTTGATGCTTCGATCACTGAAAAACACGAGAGTTTGCCTAAAGGTATACAAAGAACTATAGTATATTAACAAGAAGTCATCAACTTGTTCTAATTCCATCATTTTCTTTGTCATCAGCATATAGTTCCGAACATTATCCTAATTGTATTATAAAATAGCAGATTTTTTAGCATTAATTGCATCAATAGTAGACAATATGAACAGACGGTGTGATGAGCTAGCTACGTCGTATATTCAGGCTTCTCATATGTATTTATATCTATTCAACTTTACCTTTCGTCAAACAAATTTTTCGTGCATACGGAGGTAAGTAAGTATGTAGTATTCGTCAAATAGTACGATAAAGATCAATTACCTAAATATTTACAGGATTCGATTTCTTCACGAGTGGTGTTGTTTTAAGAGTGGACAGCACTATAAAGTTTCAAACGATAGAAGGATTCGGTGGAGCGGTAACCGATGCTGCGTCTTTGAACTGGAGGAAGCTTCCACCGGCCGCACAGGAAAAACTAATCGAGTCAGTTTCTTGATATAATGTAGACATAATCTATACTAATATTATAAAGCTGAAGAGTTTGTTTGTTTGAACGCGCTAATCTCAGGAACTACGAGTCCGATTTGAAAGATTCTTTCAGTGTTAGATATCTCATTTACTGAGGAAGGCTACAGGCTATGTAACATCACGCTAAGACCAATAGGACAAATAGGATCAAGCGGAGAACCAATAAAGAATGTTTCAAAATCGGGGTATTTTTCTCTTTTGAGAGCTTACGCTATATGTAGATATACGCCAAAGTAACTATTCCACGCGGACGAAGTCGCATGCAAAAACTAGTAGATAATAAAGTTTTTCTTATGTGAAATAATTTAAGCACATAGGTATACCTATGTAATCTATTCAAACAAGGGGTCTCTGAATTTAAAAAATCTGATTTCTAAGACTTCTAAGAACAGTGTAACAACTAAAATTGCTTATACTTTAACGTTAATTTGCTTTCGTCAGAACCTACTTCGGTCCAAATGGCTTGGAATATAATATGATGCGAGTACCAATCGGCGGATCTGACTTTTCAACCCACCCGTACACTTACAATGAACAACCTTGGAACGATACTGAACTCTCGAATTTCTCCCTAACGAATGAGGATATTTCTTTCAAGGTAAATAAACTTTTTACCTAGCGTTTTAATGCATTTTTTATTCGTAAAAACAGAAGATTTAGAGGTGAACGAAACAAAGTAACCATAGAGGCCTAAAAGTCCTACAACACACACGAAAATTCATTTCTGTTATTATTATTATTATTTATTGCTTAGATGGATGGATGAGCTCGCAGCCCACCTGGTGTTAAATGGTTACTGGAACCCATAGACATCTACAACGTAAATTCGCCACCTACCTTGAGGTATAAGTTCTAAGGTCTCAGTATAACTACAACGGCTGCCCCACCCTTCAAACCGAAACGCATTACTGGTTCACAGCAGAAATAGGCAGGGTGGTGGTACCTACCCGTACGGACTCAGAAGAGGTCATACCACCAGTAAAAAATCGTCTATGATTGAATATATTGACTGGTTTCACAGATACCAATGATTCAGAATTGTATAAAGGCAGCGACTAGTGAGATACATATAACCGCTACAACGTGGTCGCCTCCGGTTTGGATGAAAACAAACGAAAAAATATCTGGCTATGGACAGCTCAAAACCGAATATTACCAGATTTACGCAGATTATCATTTGCGGTAACCGTACTTTAAAAAAATTAAGCAATAGTAATGATATAGACAAATTGTTATGTTAATTTTGTACTGCATATCCTAGTTGAACAAAGGAATCCTGGTTGTTCGAACTTCTTTTCCGATACAGAAATAAATATAAATGATTATTTATAAACGGTTGTAGTAACTTTAAGAGCCGCCTTGGAACGATAATGTTGTCATTGCAATATATAAAACTGAGTTATTAGTAGTAATAAGAGTTCTAGAAACACCTTTGGTCTATCTCAGCTCCCAATTCTACTTATATTAAAATACATAAATAAAGTATACAATTAAAGTGTATATATACTACAACAATTTATTGATAGCCTTCATATTATGAAATGGCAACCGAAAAAAAAAGTAAAAATAATCACTTTTTATATAACAGCTAGCATATACACCCTAGCGCTTAGCAATAAGGATTATCTGAATTTTGTCATAAAATATGTTCAACCTTTTTCGATAACGCTGAAAATATATTCATTTTTGGCTGCCTGTGCTGGACACTGGACCTTAGTGCAAATCCACCATGAGTGTAGATATATAATTCCATCGTCATGGATAAATTTAAACTAGATAAGTTTTTGTACCTACCTCATCATGTATAAAAACACATTTCGTTAATTGAAGATTCTTGGAAGAATATAAGAAACACGACATCGATATATGGGCCATCACTACAACTAATGAACCAGTCAATGGTATCATACCGGTGGTTACGTTCAATTCTATGGGATGGATTCCTTCGCAATTAGTAAGTTACAGACTTATAATCATATAAAACATCGATACTTCTACTGTGCTTGTCTCGTTTGAGTATTTAGTACGTCAAAATATCAATATTACGAAAGATACGCTATGTTAATGTTTTTTTTATATTAAATTAAAAAATATACGTAAGTTGACCTCAGTGAAGGTTGATATTGATGCCAACATAGAGTAGTGAGCGATCTGTAAGCTCTACGTAAATGTGTGAAATTAGTTGTCTGGTTTTATTTTTAAAATGTAGCTAATAATCAACTTATTGATTTATTTTCTAAATTTCATAAAAATAATTAACGTCAATAAAATAACATCTAGAATTTTCCACAGGTTTATGTAATTTATGTTTTTAATTATTCAAATGCGTTTGTATAATTTTCCGAATATAAATCAATTTTAATATTGTGTTCAATATCGGTTTTTTTTCTGGTACAGGGTCGTTGGATAGAAAACAACCTCGGCCCTACAATAAGGAAGTCGGTTTTCAATAGAACATTAATTCTTGGTGTTGACGACCAGAGGCTGATGCTGACTGCTTACATGCTAGGAGTAAATTTCATTTCTTTAATATATAAATTGACGGTAAGACGTCTTGAGAGCCCGCACGGATAGGTACCTACTTACCTGCCTATTTCTTAAAGGCACCAAATTAGGAACCTTCTCTAACTAGCCAGCAACCGAACTTTTTAGTACATTGGTGGTTCTTAGTCTAGCCTTAGTCAATACAGTGGTACCTACCTGCAATACACAGACAGGTACCTACCTGCAATACACAGACAGGTACCTACCTGCAATACACAGATAGGCACCTACCTGCCTATTTCTTAAAGGCACCAAATTAGGAACCTTCTCTAACTAGCCAGCAACCGAACTTTTTAGTACATTGGTGGGTCTTAGTCTAGCTTTAGCCAATACAGTGTGAATACCTAATACCTTGATGCCTCATTCGCACGGGCGCTTTAAAAACGTTACGTTAAAACTCGGCGTTGACGCTTTTATAACGTTCTCGATGTGAGTGTTCATAGGAACGTCACTCTTATAACGTTTTTCACTTCAGTAAAAAATACTTCCTTAACGCGCGCTGAAAAAGTTCCCGTGCGAATGAGGCCTGAGAAATGAAGTCGAGGTCTCACTTGTTTAATAACTCTTACCTTCAATCTGGAACGTTTTAATCTGGAAATGTTTCGCGACGAAAAAGGTGCGATGTGGTTCTAACCCTTGCAGTCCTACAATATGTCCTACCATTACCTACTAAACAGTACGCATTTTCGACTCAATCAGATAAACGAAAATAAACCAACAAACAATTAAAACATTCAATTTCAAAATACCAGATTATTTACAGATGGAGAAAGCCGCACCAAACTCTATCAATTATTTAGATGGTATAGCAGTACATTATTATGAAGATTTTGTGACACCTGGAATTCTTACAAATCTACACAAACGTTATCCAACGAAAATTATAGTTGCCACAGAAGCATGCGAAGGTACTTATGATTTTAATCGCACTTATATCTCTCTATAATAATAATAATAATAATTCTCTATACCTATATTAAAAAAAAGTAGGTACAAAACCGACACATATATTTTTTTTTTTGCTTAAATGGGTGGACCAGCTCACAGCCCACCTGGGTGTCCTACAACACACACGAAAATTCACTTCTGTGATATCATTATTATTATATTTTTTTATTGCTTAGATAGGTGAACGAGCTCACAGCCCACCTGGTGTTAAGTGGTTACTGGAACCCACAGACATCTACAACGCAAATGCGCCACCCACCTTGAGACATAAGTTCTAAGGTCTTGGTATAGTTACAACGACTACCCCACCATTCAAACCGAAGCGCATTACTGGATCACGTCAGAAAGTAGACCCTTCCCATCCCCCATAATACCTACTCTACCGGCAGTAAAACTAATATTTATTGTAGAAATATTTTGCATCACAGCATAATGGCATTATTCAAAATTTTATCTCGCTACGCACAGATATAAACACAACCAATCGTTTTCAGGTGCGTATCCTTGGGAAACCTCTAAAGTTAAGATCGGATCTTGGGACAGAGCACAGAACTATGTCAAAGACATTATAGAGGTAATTCTTAAATTGTTGTAACCGTTCTCTTCGTATCACTAAAGTCACATTATTTAATTTTTATGTATAAAATTCATTTCATCAACTCTACAGTGAAAAATAATTCCAAAAACTTATGATATTCGGATTTTTTTATTAACGGTCGACATATCTAACACAGGCGACGGGGCAACGCAAAGCCGCTGTCGCCCGAAGACTTTTCGGCGCCCCCGGTGCTTTTAGTGCCCTCAAGCACCGGTCTTTTAGTGCCCTCAAGAGTTCAATGAGCGATCTAACCCATACATAGCCCATTGAGTTTTTCGTCAAATCTTACCCGTGGGTCGCGATTCCGATCCGGTAGTAGATTCTGCGAAGCACTGCCCTTGCTAAGGCTGCTGGCAAATTCTCTCAGGTTCAGCCCATGAGCTCATCCCTGCCTATTTCTGCCGTGAAGCAGTAATGCGTTTCAGTTTGAAGGGTGGTACAAGGAAATTATATATTAAAATAAATATACAGGACTTAAACAACTACGTAGTGGGTTGGATCGATTGGAACCTCTGTTTGGATCCCAACGGCGGCCCAAACTGGGCTAGCAACTTCGTAGACTCCCCAATAATTGTATATGAAGATAAAGGAGAATTCGTGAAGCAACCAATGTATTATGCATTGGGGCATTTTTCCAAATTTATTCCAAGAGGCTCAACGCGCCTCCAAGTAACAACGCTTAGTACAGAAGGCATAGAGAACGTTGCAGTTATAACGCCGAAGGGGAATGTTGTGGTTGTTATGCAAAACAGGTTTGTGCAAAAAATGAATCTTTAAAGTTTATAATCTTTCAAATAAATAAAAAAAATACTTAGGAATCGAGTCTTTGGTGTTCAAATAAAACTAAAGACGTATGTAGTGGGATGTTGTGAGAAACTGACCAGTATCACACCAACATCAATTCCGTCGCGTACCTTACAGCATATGGTCAAAGTCCCAAAAGTCTTGTATCGTAGGTGCTTTACCCTCGGTACTCTTTTTTTTTCACGAGCGGAAGAAACTGGCAACCAAGTGTATCTCTGTGACAAATTGAATTGACTAAAAAGATCTGTAGTATTTTACTTGAGACTTTAAATGAAAAATGGACTTATGATGATTTCAAATCAGGGCGTACATTTTTTTCAAGTCCAAACCTCTGGAACCCTTCTCGAAGGTACGCCCGAACACAGTTCATAATTGCAACAGAGATATTTTATAAATCTCACTCTTAAAAATTTTTTATTGCCTGTGCAGGCAGTCCAGTGACGATCCCCCTGACGATGAGTGGCTACCGTCGCTCAGGGACGTCAGCAATTTCAGGGGCAGAGGCAAGCCGCTGCCTACTGTTACCTATTACACGTTATTCCTAGTTTTATTTGAGAAGCATTTTACATGTATATGTGACCAAGCTCAAGAATTATCTGATGTTATATGGCCACAAGAATCTAGGAAAATCACAACTGTAATATCACCATCCACCTTGAGACATGAGATCAAGTCTCAATTGGTGGTATGGTAATGTAGTATAACGGAACCCATTTCTGATTCAGAGATATGGGGCGGTGGTACCGACCAGTACAGGCTTACAAGATGCCCTACCACCAATTTTAATAGCAAGAGTTTAGCAATAGTTAGTGTTTACACAACCAAAACGTCTAAACATTAACATTATGTCCAGTGTGAACTCAGCTAATGTTAAATAAATTTTAATACACAGGAAGCAACATACAGTACCTGTGAAGATATATGTGAGCAGTAGAAAAGCTATAAACATTAATATGGAACCTGAATCAATAAAAACTGTAGAAATTAATTCTGTCTCATGAAACATGCACAGAAATTAAATCACTTTTTTTGTGATGAACTTTAGAGCTTCAGAATTATTTTATAACAATTACATATTTACCTAGTTTATTAAAAAATGTTTTGCTCAAATTGATGATTGACTTTCATTACCCCAGTGACTGGATTAGGTACTTGTCTTGGATGTCACGGTATCATATCAGCTCACATTCACAATATGTCCTACCAGTACTCAAGATAGGAATTGATAACAAAGCAATAAAGCTTGGTAGATAAACAGTATTACAACTACAGATATAATTTAGGATGAAAATGATGATCTTTAGAACATAAATTTGCGTCGCCAGCTTAGCCTACCCAATAATGCAGAGAGAGAAAGTAATTAGTGTGAAATATAATTATGAACTGTTTTTAATCAAACAGATCATGCTAGACTTTTTAGAGTTGAATATTTGATCACTAATTCTATGCAATGCTTTGTTACTGTCACCAATTACTAGGTCAATCTAAATCTACAATCACATCTTAATCTGTATTCATTATAAATTTGCAATATATATTATGAGAAGAGATTAAGCATATTTTATTTACAAATGTTTAATCACTAAACAATCACCACGGATTTCAAGTCACAATTTTATCCATTAGACATAAAAAAATACTCTGAAGCAGTATTCGCTAATACACCATCAGTCAGTCACAATCAGTTTAATAATTTATTAATAGATTTACTCTTCTTCTAATTCAGTTGTTATCCAGTAGGTGTTTACAAGGCTAATTTGATGGGATTCTAATCTTTTACCATAGTCATTAAGCAACAATAGTGAATAAATATAATAATATGAAAAAATAAATGATACATTTATTTATAGACAATCAGTACTAAATGAAATATAAATGTGTCAATTGAAATTATTTATCCTCTTACTTGAAAGCTATAGCTGTTGTATTAATCATGCCTTATTCTATGAATTTATACATGAAAAATATGATCACATCACAAAAAAAGTATTTAAACATGTTCTACTAAGCCGCCAGTGAAGTAATTTTGTCTAATGGCCACACTCGACACACTACTCGGCTTCTGATCAAACCTGCCGGTACAGGCCCATATATTCTTGAATCAGCAGAATTACTAGAATTATCACCTTCTAACCAAACATGCCCTCTTGGTACTACCTGACTGCGCTTTGGAAAATTGCCTCTAACTTTATCACCTGGTAGTCCTTTTATTCTCTTACATATATTTTGTCTAGGATTTGATGGACTCTTAGCTATGATAATATCACCACGCCTCAGTTTCTGGAGTCTTGGTGATATGTGTTCTGTCAACAGAATGTTATTTGATTCTAGTGTTGGTTCCATCGATGGTCCAGAACACTGAAATGAGAGTAAATAAATAACTATACTCAATCTGTAAAATAAAAGCTTTTTTAATGTCATATTCCTTAGTAGGATCGAGCATACAGGGAGCGATCTGTAAATTCATTAACTTACCATGACAAAATCACCAATATATTCGAACGTACAATGTGTTATACAAGCATATTGTAAAGCGTAACCTATGAAACCACAAGTTTTGCCAAAAAAGTTCATCAATGTCATTTTTTCGAGAATTATTTTAGATTACATAAAGCCCTAAGTTTCTAAGAGTAAAATTCTTTCGTATCCATAACATAAAAACTGGTACACTTTTTCCGTCCTAAAACAATCCAATAGTTTGAACTCAACACTATTCATCACAATTATTAACTGATGGATTGAAACTTTAATTACATAGTAATTATACTAATTATGATTTTTTATTGGTATTTTGGCAAACTGATACTTTCGGCAATTTCTGGCTGTGTCGTTGTGTTTTTGACGTTGATTCGTTTGACTTTTTGAAGATTTTTTTAGGGATTTTATGACCTGGTAAATGAGACTTTTAAATCATGTCTTATTTTAATTTATATACTTATTTTTCTGAAAAATAATAATCTGGAGTGAAATGAAATGAAGATAAGATGATATAGAATGAAATATAATAAAATATAATCTCAGTAAAATGGTGATCATTTACTGAGATTTTTTCAGCGGCCTTTTTGGAAGATCCCGAGAAGCTACGTCCAGCGATTTTATTTCATTTTCCCACATTTGTGCACTTTCACAGATATTAAACAGTCAATATACCACCATTATTACACATTTAAACCCGAAGAAACACTAAATGGACAAAATAAAACAAATCACACAACTTCACTCCTCGCGTTCCCGCCAAAAAGTCCTTTTTGAAGAATGGAATTCTTTATACACAGATTAATGTTTTAGAAGCTGGTTAGTGTAGACTCCGTTCAATTAATACTTATCCAATATTATTTGCTCATAGTTTACGGTGATAAGGCGTATTGTGAGCTCGTACGCGTATATTATGTATATTGTGTATGTATATACATATACTTTGTAGCAGACTGCAGAATACACAATAAATTATTGCTTCGTCATAGAAACACGCATTTTCCATTACTATTGAGATTTTAATCACATGGTTCACCACATTGACGGTTTGATAGTTTTAGTAAGATCTGATAACAACCAATTGACACCAGATGGGCTGTGAGATTGCACACTCATGTGTAATCTTCTTTATCGCGTAAAAGTTATCTTAATTTTTTTCCTGCCTAAGCTGATGCCTTGAGAGGCTATGTCAGCGTAACCTAACAAGTAAGTGAGCTCACGGTGCTCAAACCTGACGACGTGCAACCCTAGCAAGAGCAGTGCTTCGCAGTATCTATCACCGAATTGGACACGCGACCTACTGAAAAGATCCGGTGAGAAACTCAGTGGACAGTTCGATGAGAACGGTGACCGATGCTTGAGACACTTAACCCTCAGACACAGCCCACTGAGTAGTTTTTTTTATTTTTTTATATTGCCTTTGTAGTCAGACGAGCATACGGCCCACCTGATGGTAAGTGGTCACCGTCGCTCATGGACGTCAGCAATGCCAGGGGCAGAGCCAAGCCGCTGCCTACCATAAAGAACTCTCCGCAAGCCTCGTTTGAAGAAGGACATGTCATAGCGCTCGGAAAATACCGTGGAGGGGAGTTCATTCCAAAGCCGGATGGTACGTGGCAAAAAAGATCTTTGGAAACGCACTGTCGATGAACGCAGCGGTTCCAGATAATATGGATGAACTTTGCTCCGATGGCGGGAGGTGCGATGATAAAAAGGAGATGAGGGAATCATCTCGAATAATTCCTCAGAGCATTCTGTCGTGAAGAAGTAATGCGTTTCGGTTTGAAGGGCGGATCAGCCGTTGTAACTATATACTTGAGACCTTAGAACTTATATCTCAAGGTGGGTGGCGCATTTACGTTGTAGATGTCTATGGGCTTCGGTAACCACTTAACACCAGGTGGACTGTAAGCTCGTCCACTCATCTAGGCAATAAAAAAAAAAGAAGTCATGAATATGGTGCAGCAGTGAGATACTAGGTCAAAATCAGAATTGTATGGTATAACGGATGGTGTATCTTTCTAAACGACACATGACTGTATTGTCGCAGAAGTAGGCAGGATGATAGCCGTCTGGGGGTATATATACACCTAACCACCAGTAATAAAGCAAATTTAATACTTGGCTGCTCATTCTGGAGACAGAAGGCATGTGGAAAGGAAATCTTTGAAAGTGCACCAGTTCTTGAGGCAATTGGAATGATGACACCGTCTGTGATGACAGTTGCGACCAAGAGTTGATTTCTACAGATAATTATATCAGAGCAGTCTGAAGTTTGAAGACAGTTGGTCGGTAGGATAAACAGTATACAATTGAGTCATCGACCTCACGTCTCAAAGTGGGTGACGGGGTTCGCGTTGTGATGTCTTTAGGTACGAAGTAGAGGATGCTCTAGTGTGGATATTATTTTGAGTTGCTGCCGAACGAATAAGATGTATTGTCCTATTTTTACCAAGAATTGTCATATATTTAGAATACTTCAACGTCTATACTAAAGTGTGTGGCAGCCTTGATGTCCATGGGCTCCACTAACAATTCAATACCAGATCGAGTGTGTCCTGTGAGAGGAAGCACCTACCTTTTTTCGTGTCCGTTCTTCCTGGTATCATCCAAGTTGCTCAGGTTCAAAGGCGTGTTCGATAGTTCGTTTAGCTTCTGTAGGAAGTTCTGCTGGAGTCTGGCCTGTTCTAGGGCCTGCAGGGGGACTGGGAGGACGAGGGGGGCGGCGGGGAGGGCCTTGTGTGCGGGAGCGAGAGGGGGCGAGGGCGAAGAGTGCGGTATGATCTGCACTTGGGGCTCGAGTACGTTAATCGTGTCGTCGCTGTCGTTCGTTGTCGATAGTCGTCCGTTTGACATCTGTGGGTTTAGAGGCATAAAATGCTTAAAGGAGTCCATGGACAGCTTTAACGTCGACAACCCATCTCGCCACACAAAACCTCCATTACGTTAGCCTAACGTCCGGCCTACGTTTAAAACCTTAATAAATGACTTCAAAAGCGATTCTAAAACACCTCTAGTTAAAATTGGTTAAAGAAGTCCCATCACCCGCTTCTGTGTCCGAATCAGACCGAATGCGGTCTAATCGTTAGCCAGCACAGACCAGCAAAGACCTAAAAGTCTGGCGCGCCTAAACATTTACACCCTGACTTTTCTTGTGCGAAATATTGAATTTGCGGACTTTTAAGAACTTTGCTGCCTCAATAGTTACCCTGACTGTCGTAACACAGGGTTAAGGATCGATTCGTTTTCGTCTCGGATGTGTGTATTTCAATCCTGTTTTGAGGCGATTGAATGTGGAATGTTAAATACTAAGGTTATTTATTATACATTTAATACCATCACAATTGGTATCAAGTCTTGTGTCAATGACCCATTCGTCATAAATCGCGTTATATTAGTATGTATTTTTTTTTATTGCTTATTGCTTAGATGGGAGGACGAGCTCACAGTCCACCTGGTGTTGCTTGGCCATTCCCTAGCACTACTGATGTCCGTGACGACGGTAACCACTCACCATCGGCCCAGTCTGCTTACAAGGATCATAAAAATCAATTGAGATTCCGACTAAGGTGGCATTGACGTGGTGATGACCATGGACCACAGTCACAATTGTCACGCGGCAATAAAAAAAAAATGCAAAACACTCACGTTAACAGGCACACAGTCGTCGTCCTTGATGCTGTGCCCTTCCGCGCTAGTTGTGGGCTCACCGTCTTCCTCTGAAACGATATGACCCTTCGCTTCAATCCTGCCACTAATCTGTTTTATTAAGCCCAACTTGATACTTTATTTGTTGTCGAAACACAATTATTTCTGGCGCGAACTACTCATATGATCAAGGCCGACCGGTCGGTGTAAAATAAAAACGGGAATTCCACCACAAGTCTTCGCTTTGTCTATGGATTTCCGGGGAGACTAGGCTAAGCTAATTCCTAAATATTGACTGATTTACCACCAAAAACGAGTTTAATCATGCTGATTCAGGGAAAGATTCCTCTTTTTTTTTAAATTTATTACATAGATGGGTGGACGAGCTCACAACCCACTGGATGTTAAGTGGTTACTGGAGCCCATAGAGCCACTCACCTTGAAATATAAGTTCTAAGGTCGCAGTATAGTTACAACGGTTGCCCCACGCTTCAATCGAAACGCATTACTCCTTCACGGCAGAAATTGGCAAGTCGGTGGTACTTACCCACGCGGACTCTCAAGAGGTCCTACCACCAATAAACCTTGTCATCTTATGAATCAGAAATTTACAGCTATCCGTTAATATATTTTGCTTGTAATTCTCACTAGATGTGGGTAGTTAGAAATCGCATCCGAAAGCATTGGTGGTTCGACCAACAAAACAAAAGAAGGATACATCGCTAAGTCGAAGTCGTCGTGGCCTAAAGGATAAGACGTCCAGTGCACTCGTATGTAGCGATGCAACGGTGTTCGAATCCCGCAGGCAGGTACCAAATTTTCTAATGAAATACGTACTCAACAAATGTTCACGATTGACTTCCACGGTGAAGGAATAACATCGTATAATAAAAATCAAACCAGCAAATTTTAATTTGTTTAATTACTGGTGGGAGGACCTCTTGTGAGTCCGCGCGGGTAGGTACCAACACCCTGCCTATTTCTGGCGTGAAGCAGTAACGCGTTTCGGTTTGAAGGGTGGAGCAGTCGTTGTAACTATACCTGAGACCTTAGAACTTATATCTCAAGGTGGGTGGCGCATTTTCGTCGTAGATATCTACGGGCTCCAGTAACCGCTTAACACCAGGTGGGCTGTGAGCTCGTTCACCCATCTAAACAATAAAAAAAAGGTCATCTTGGACGTTACCTTTGACGTCTAAGGGATGTATGCTCTGCCACAGCATCCCATCGAGCAGACTTGACGTGTCTGATTGCGGAGGCTGCTGAAAATGAATACGAACAAGAGATTTAATACCGCCATTTAACACCAGGTGGGCCGTTCGCTCGTCGATCCGTCTAGGCAATTTACATCGTCTTTTCGTCTTCGTCTTCGTCGTCAAACTTTTTCGTCTGTGTGTTGCATGTCGCGTGACGGTCGGCCGCGGAGTAGGGATAAAGCGAAAGGCGCTCGTCAGCGTTAGCCAAGGTCAATATGGCGGCGCCTATAGTTCGCAGCAGCTGACCGTGTAGTGTATAGACTATTACTCATTTGTGCTCCACGCTATTTTGTTTGTTTTTGTCAGTGTTTAATGTAAATGTTGTTTGTCAGTGTTAAATGTCTATAATGTGAACTTTTACCGTGGTTTCATAAAACCACACAACCCTTCTTTTTTTTTTACTGAATTTCCCGAGACCTGAGGAGTTGCTCGCTCCGGGCATTTCAATATTGCATTAATTGTTACGTTCAACCTCTTGTGAAAATGAATATAAAAAAAAAACTGATATTTGAAAAAAAAAGACATGCCCGTTGAGTTTCTTGCCAGTTCTTCTCAGGACGGAGGCTAGTTCTTGTGAATTGGCGGTAGTTCTTTTTGATGTTCAACAAGTATGTACTTTCATTTATCTATATATATATATATAAATGAATTGCTGTTCGTTAGTCTCGCTAAAACTCGAGAACGGCTGGATCGATTTGGTTAATTTTGCTTTTGAATTATTTGCGGAAGTCCAGAGAAGGTTTAAAAGGTAGATAAATATGAAAATGCTCGGAATTAAATAAAAATAAGAATTATGTTTTTCCTTTTTTTTTTTTTTTTTTTTTTCTATCTAAGCTGAGAGCCTTGAGAGGCTATGTCAGCGTAACCCTAACTTTTGTAGGTGAGCTCACGGGGCTCAAACCTGATGACGTTGCTAACACGAACCCTAGCAAGAGCCGTGCTTCGCAGAATCTACCACCGGGTCGGAAACGCGACCCACTGAGAAGATCCGGCGAGAAACTCAGTGGGCTGTGTCTGGGAGTTAATTTACTCGTCGAGTCGAACGGTGACCGGTGCTTGAAGTACCTAGAAGCACCGTTAGTGGATCGGGAGGATGTTTTTCCTTTGATGTGTCCCCCGTCGGACGGATTGATTTTGTTTGTTTTAAGTTTATTTTATAGAAAAGTTTAGGTATTTTATTTAGAGATTGAGTCACTACGAAGTCTGCCGGGTCAGCTAGTGTTGAATAAATTTTTTTGTCTTTGACTTTGACTGACAAAAGATTGCACCGGTCGTACATCTGACAATTGATGTCCCTATGTTATATGCATATCGAGGGCTAAAAGGTTATTTAGTTTAAGCGACTTTTTGCAACGTTACCAGAGATTTTAAAGTTTAAAATTTGGAAAAAATATCAAAACAAAAAACAATATCTTTAGGTGTTTTTAATGGCGTAAACTTAATTGAAGTTCAATTAAAAACATCGAGCTGTTGATGTTAATAAATAGCCTTTTTTTAACCCCTCGATATCTTAATATATATAAATCACGTGTCACGTTGGTTTGTCCGCGATGGACTCCTAAACTACTTAACCGATTTTAAATTAAATTTGCACACCGTGTGCAGTTTGATCCAAATTGAAAGATCTATCCTAGATTACATCTTAATTTATAGCCGCAATATTATTTTATTGCAAACTATTTGTCTACTATTTGACATTCACAATTATCTGTTAACTCCAAATGATTTTAGCAGATGGCGATGTCTGTTGACTGGATTGAGTAAGTAATCAATAGATGGCGCTGCTATGATAAACCTACAAATTGGTCACATAAGCTCCAATTTAATGGCATGAACACCACGTGTTGCTGAGGCTAAAGTATAAGTGAAATTTATTTCGTAGTAAACGCAATACAGTGAAATCCAATTGTTCTTACATTGTTAATTTTTGGTATTCGCATAGCCGGCCACACAGAAACCTTAGCCACAGCAACATGTGGCCGGGTCTGCTAGTAATAATATATGCTTCGTATCTACCAACCTGTGTATCGTGAGCGCGCATTTTGCATTTCTTCTTATAGTTTTCGTACCACATCTTGACTTGCGCGGGGGTCCGGGGTCGCTCGCCGCCGCAACGCTTGTTCACCTCCTCGCAGATCGTGGACCACACCAGCTGAGCGCGTTAAAGTGGTCAATTGAAATCGAATGAAACACAAAATTCGCAAAACGATTACGAGTGTCCGCAATTGCCGGCGTCATGGCGAGCTGGGAACTCACTGGGGTAGGTGTGAATACCAGTTGACGATCGCTGTGCGACAGTCCAGTGGTTCTCAATCTTTTTTTTTCTTTCTCCTACCTATGCTGATAGTCTTGAGAGGTTATTTCAGCTTCTCCTTGACGTGTAGGTGAGGACAAGCCGGAGTGTTGCTAATAGTGGCCCTAGCAACTGAGAAGATCCGGCGAGAAACTCAGTGGGCTGTGTCTGTGGGTTAATTCACTCGTCGAGCCCTTCGTCGCAAGCGACGGGTTCGACGAGGACGGTGACCGGTGCTTGAGGTACCTAAAAGTACCGTTAGTGGATCGAGACGATCCGTAATGACGTTTTTTGCTTAGCGACGCACTCACTGACACGCAAAAGGTTTGACAGTCGCAATGAAGATAGGTAGGTTCATCTATTGAACTTTTTATTTATTTATTTTTATTGCTTAGATGGGTGGACGAGCTCACAGACCACCTGGTGTTAAGTGGTTACTGGAGCCCATAGACATCTACAACGTAAATGCGCCACCCACCTTGAGATATAAGTTCTAAGGACTCAGTATAGTTACAACGGCGGCCCCACCCTTCAAACCGAAACGCATTACTGCTTCACGGCAGAAATAGGCAGGGTGGTGGTACCTACCCGCGCGGACTCACAAGAGGTCCTACCACCAGTAAGTAGTCTAAGCACAGATTACCGCAGTGCTATTTGGCATTATGCACGGCACGGTATCACAGTTTCAGCTTCATTCCCTTCCTTTTGCCAGTGTGCTTAGTGAGAGTCCCTAAACGTTCTCGATCGCGTAAAAGTTAACCCAATTTTGTATGCAGTTGGAACAGCGCCCCTAGCGGCAAACGTACGCAAACGATCCAACTTCATACAAATATGAGTTAACTTTTACGCTATCGAGAACGTTAAAAAACTCGCACTAACCACACTAAACACATATTAGTTTATTACTACATTAGTCGAAGTCGTCGTGGCCTAAAGGATAAGACGTCCGGTGCATTCGTATGTAGCGATGCACCGGTGTTCGAATCCCGCAGGCGGGTACCAATTCTTCTAATGTAATACGTACTTAACAAATGTTCACGATTGACTTCCACGGTGAAGGAATAACATCGTGTAATAAAAATCAAACCCGCAAAATTATAAGGTGGGAGGACTTCTTGTAAGTCCGCACGGGTAGGTACCACCACCCTGCCAATTTCTGCCGTGAATCAGTAATGTGTTTCGGTTTGCAGGGTGGGGCAGCCGTTGTAACTATACTTGAGACCTTAGAACTCATATTTCAAAGTGGGTGGCGGCATTTACGTCGTAGATATTTTAGAAGATTAGTCTATCTATGGGCTCCACTAACCAATTAACACCAGGTGGGCTGTGAGCTCGTCCACCCATATAAGCAATTAAAAAAAAATAGAGGTCCGAACCTTACGCCTCACGGTGCATGGCGGCAAGATACCATTGATCGTCAGGTGGTCCATGACATTACCAATTGACCCACGACAATAAACTAATCCAACGACCACTTACTGCCAATAAGGTAATTATTGATTCGGTACACCAATAAAAATGCAAACCTAAAAGATACGCGTAAGGTAATTTATAGATTAAAAAAAATTTTTTTTCGTCTTAACGGCCCAAACTTGTTTCCAGCCGACCTAAATGTACAGATTAAAGAAGAATTTGGTTGGAGCGTTTCGAACAAGGAAAGCGAGGCTATTTCATTTCTTTTCTTTCTCCATGGCTTTTTTTTTCCACACACAAGACGTCCTACCACCAGTAAGATCATCATAATCGGTTGCTCTTGGCAGAGCAGTCGTGGTCATGTGGAATTCTTGCTCATTAAAGCCTTAACAGATGATTTCCACAGTTTGCGAACCGAGGCCCGGTGCACACACTCGTTAAGTGGGGTTTCAATAAGGTCTTTTACCTGATCAGTCCAACGCATGGGGTTTCGTCCACGAGATCTCTTATCATTGACCCTACCCTGAACAACAAGTTTCTCGATAGACTCTGCTGGCCGACGCGATACGTATCCAAAATATCGAAGAATCCTGGATTGCACTGTTGACGATGAGTAAGATACATAGATATATATAGAAATATGTATATATTGTACATATGTGTTTGTTTTTCATCTTACTGTCATTAGGTTGTCGCTGTGTTTTTTGGGACTTCACGAGATGTGACAATGACTTATAGACAAATTAACTGTTCCAGTCCAATCACGACCAAAAAAAAATGGCGCGCGTGCAATTTGGTGCTCGTGAAAGAAGTTAAACTTCTTTTTCGATGTGTAGTACTGTGGTTTTCTTCATTATTCATCCTTAAATCAAATTTCTCTTGCAAATAGGGAATGCTGTGTATAAGAACAACGACCTAGCTCGTTTTGTCCTTTCCCTCTCTTCACGGTCGAGTGGTTCGCGAGACGTTTTCTGTCTATGGGCTCTAGTAACCACTTAACACCAGGTGGGCTGAGAGCTCGTCCACCCAACTAAGCAAGGAAAAAAAAAAAGAACCCAAAGCCCCTCTGTTGAAAGTTGAAAGCAGTCGTCAGGGAAGATAATCAATTTCGGAGGCTCAATCAAATAACTTTTAAACTAGCGGAATACTTTTAAAATTCTGATTTCCCTAAAACTGGAAAATTCACCGTACACAGAGCATTAATTAAAACCATGAATAATTAATTTATATATATATATTTTTTTTTAACATTACAAATCGTCTTCATTTTTATACGACACAAATTCTTCTTAACGACGCTCCAAAATTCATTACCTCATGAATAACAAATTCAAAGTATTAAAAAAAAAAGATTCTACAATAACCTAAATTATTAACCGAAATAAATTATTTATGAAATTTCAACATATCAGCATAATTTTACGCGCGAAAAGAAAATTTCACTAAACGACTATAAATAACGCAAATCGATTTAGACCTTATGTCGATAGGCATAAGGTGGCATTTCTATTTACGACACTACGATGTTACGTCCTCATGAATACGATGAAAATATTCAAAAACATTTACGTAGGCATATAATATAATGTTGTGTAATTACATATTATTTTAATGCTCTCACACATTTATGTGTTAAAAAAGGTATTTTTTTTACTAAAAAAAAATTATCTGAATAAATGTATAGTATTAACATCAATTTAATTTTAATGGATATATTTAAATTTCAAACGTGTAATATGAAAATTATCAGAATGCGTGAAGGGTGCGTAACGTTGAGATAAATCGAATGAGCCTAAACTTGATAAGTTCAGGAATTTCGGATGAGCTCCCAGCCCAGCTGGTTTTAAGCGGTTACCGGAGCCCATAGACATCTACAACGTAAATGCCGCCACTCACCTTGAGATATGAATTCTAAGGTCTCAGTATAGTTACAACGATGGTGGTACCTACCCGTGCGGGCTCACAAGAGGTCCTACCATCAGATCCATCATCAGACCAGACCGATAACATACTATTGATTCGTAGCAAAGTGATTAGAAAGTCAAGAGCGTAACGTGGAAGCAGATCCCTAGGAGATTCCTCTACGTCCTTACTTTCGATATGGTGACTGAGATGACCCATGGGTGGGTCGCTCACCATGCTCATCATCATCGACAGAGGCACAGCCAAACCTCGCTCGAGGAAGGAAACGTCTTGTGCTAGAGAAATGGCGTATGAGGGCAATCGTGTCACAGTCGGATGCTACGTGGTTAAAATGAAAGACTGACTCGATGGTGTTGTAGTTAGCGGTCCTGACTGATGTTCCGAGGGTCGTAGGTTCGATTCCCACGTCGGGCAAACATTCGTGTGATGAACAGATTCGTTTGCCCTCTGTGTGTTTATTATCTATATATGTTTATATTTAAACATGTATAAGTATGTCAATCTCTGGTACTTATAACACAGGGAATCCTAAATTGGGGCAGAATGACCGTGCGTGATTTGTTCTCAATTATTTATTTTAAAATTATCCCTGGGGACCTTGAACGAGCGCAATGGTTCCCACTTCGATAAAGCGGCACGACACGAGAACCCTCGCATCGTGGCTGCCGGTAACTACATTCCCGATCCTGCGGACAGAATGGAAAGCAGTCGACGTCGCCCCAAATACGTCATTTCGGATTCTCCCGATCCGCTAACGGTGCTTTTAGGTACCTCAAGGACCGGTCATCGTTCTCGTCGAACCCGTCGCTTGCGACGAAGGGCTCGACAAGTTCATCCTCAGACACAGCTCACTGAGTTTCTCGCCGGATCTTCTCAGTGGGTCGCGATTCCGATCCGGTAGTAGATTCTGCGAAGCACGGCTCTTGCTAGGGTTCGTGTTAGCAACGTCATCAGGTTTGAGCCCCGCGAGCTCACCTACTAGTTAAGACTACGCTGATATAGCCTCTCAAGGCTCTCAGCTAAGGTTGGAAAAAAAAAGCAATGATTCCAGGAGGTACGGTTTAACTCCCCACCGGTGGGGTTTAGTTCAGTAGTGGGATTCGAGTAGTCCACGTGGAGCTAATAGAGGAGAAGTCTTCAAACCCAAGCTTACCTGTTTACTTCTGTTGGTTGCGTTGTTGGACCGACCCTGGCGGAGTACGTCCCTATGTCTGGCTATCAGCTCGAGCACCGTGCGTTTCTCCAGCTCGGTGAAGTTCTTCGATCGCTCCTTGTGGCCGCGTCTGGCGCGGAGAGAAGTGGCACTGCGCGTTGACATATCACTCTGTAATAAAGGAAATGTTGAGGGGGAATTAGCTTTACACACTGAATGTCGTGACCGGTGCCCTACGTGGTACACTCAAGTTATCGTGTCGATTTCTGTTACTAAGAGCGCCTGGATTGCCTGACTTTGCCTACTTTTGTTTTTAATGTATGTTTTAGTTATGATTTGCATGCAGCAGAGATGCGAATGTTGTAATGGATGTGTGGAGTAACGAGAATGGATAGAATACAGAATGAATATGTTAGAGGAAGTCTGAAAGTGCCACCTGTGACAGAGAAGCTGAGAAGTGCGCGCTTGGGATGGTATGGAGATGTAATGAGACGAAATGAAAATGAGGTTGGTACGAGAGTGTTAACTATGAATGTGGAAGGATATAGAGGAAGAGGTAGACCTAAGAAGAAATTAATGGATTGCGTGAAAGACGATATGGGTATGAGGGGAGTGAGCGAAGAAATGGTATATGATAGAAGAGTATGGAAGGAGAAAACATGTTGCGCCGACACCAGGTGACTGGGAGAAGGGCAGGATAATGATGTTTTAGTCTGTTAGGTCTCTAGAAATAGATTCAGTGTCCGTGTCTTCGGATTCGTCTTTGCCAGAGTCTACTAGATATTCCGGCGTCTTAGTAAGAAGATCGAAGAGAGAAATCGACATAGTTACTTCAGTGGGCCACGTAGAGCACCGGTGCCCCACATGAATGCTGCCTTGAATTTAACGTGGAACTTTCAGTCAGTTGAATCAATTCACTCAATAAAAGTTTAAGTATAACCCGTTATTTTACACAAAAATCAAATCCTATTACATCAATCGTTCTGTTACCAACGTACAAAAAATACTTGGAGATAAGGACAAAAAGACCGAGAGCCTAAATCGGGCAATACAGATCCGTGGCATCATTACGAATCACCGACCTTTGTGCCATGAAGCGTCTTCCATTGCGGGTCGTTGGTTATTTGGAGAATCATTTTAAGCCATTGTCTCAGTAGGGGAATTCAAGCTACATCGACCGCACTATCCATGGGGGCTATGCAAATCGCACCAGATGGTGGTCTGATTGAACAAAAAAGGAAAGAATAAAACAACACAGTGATGCCAACTCCGGGGTTTTCCCCCTAAATTTAGGGGGAAAAAATCTATACAGGGATTTTTTTAGGGGGTGAAATTTTTTGGGGATATTTTTAGGGATAAAATTTTATTTGTATTTTTTTTTAATTTTCTACGTACATCAACAAAAAAAAAATTCAAATCGATTGAATGTTTCCAATTTTAATAGATGACACTGTATGCATTTTTTATTATACTCTTAACAGCTGATAGCTAAAAACAATCAGTTATCATTGTTAGTTTTTGCATTGTGCACTATCTTTTTTTAAAAACAAATACCAAATATAAAATACCAGGTTTAAAATGCCAAAAGGAGAAAAAGTTTCTGGCTATTCTCAAAAATATACCACTGATTTAGTGGTTTTTGAAAGTGCTTTGAAAGGGGAAAAGTTTTCAAACAGTTGGCAACACTGAAACAACAAGTCCTTAGTTTTCGCGATAATCTTTACGTAACGTTCGCGTAAAGCAGATAATTATCGTGTTAACACCGTAATCGTTTTTAAACCGAATTATTATAACATTATCGTGTGCGATGCCCGAGATAAGGACTAACGTGAACCTGAGTTATATTATTACGTACGCGCCTATATCGTAACGCGGATGCAACGTACAGTAATTATATTCATATCGGTCCGTCTATATCTTAATGGCGCCTCGAGTTTTATCTATTGGTTTTGTTAAAACGTTTTTTTTTCTTTTCATTTAGCGGTCTTCGTAATTCGGACTGCAAATTTGCGAGCAGATTTTTATCAGCTGTGTTATTGGTGTTGAAGTGTCTTCTGAGCCTGGGTAGGTATCGCCACCCTGCTCATTGCTGTGGTGAAACAGTAATGCCACTTTTTTCCTACCTATCTGCTGATAGGCTAAGAAGCTATTCCAGCTACGCGCGGGTAGACGAGCTCACGGGCTCAACCTGAGAGAATTTGCTAACACTGGCCCTAGCAAGAGCAGTGCTTCGCAGAATCTACCAACGGATCGGAATCGCGATCCACTTAGAAGATCCGGCGAGAAACTCGGTGGGCTGTGTCTAGGGGCTAGTTCGCTCGTCGACCTCTTCGTCGTAATCGACGAGGACGCTGACAGATGCTTGTTAAAGTTTTTTATAAGGTTCTTCTTCTCAATCGTGCACTCCTGGCGGAGTGGTCGTGGTTACGTATGTCTTATTACTTGGTTGCGGCTTTTGCGAGGCCTCTCCATTTCTCTCTATTTGTGGCAGTACGTGTACATTCAGTAAGGGAACACTTAGTAGATGACTTAATCAAGCCTGTCCACCTTGTGGGTGATCGGCCGCGAGAGCGTTGACCGTCTACTCTTCCTTGAACTATTAATCATTCCAATTATTACTGGTGGTAGGACCTCTTGTGAGTCCGCACGGGTAGCTACTACCGCCCCGCCTATTTCTGCCGTGAAGCAGTAATGCGGTTCGGTTTGAAGGGTGCGGCAGCCGTTGTAACTATACTCAGACCATAGAACTTATATCTCAAGGTGGGTGGCGCATTTACGTTGTAGATGTCTATAGGCTCCAGTAATCACTTAACAGCAGGTGGGCTAATATTATATATATGCCATAACTATTATTTTAATTACCGTATATTTACACACTTGATTAATCTTACAGCTTAATATATTATTATACAACAAAACACAATTATTTAGTTATTTTATTACGTACCAATTAACAAAGAATAATTAATATTATTGTTTATCATTTGAAATACTTTAGGAAATTATTTTTTTAATAAATACTGCAACTTTTTTGGCAACATTTTTAATCGATACTTTACAAATGCATTAAACCGGAAGCACCAAAAAAACGAATTAAAAGCTTATATTAAATTAACATTTTTTTGTGGCTTTGCCACGTAAACCTAACATCAGCAAATAAAATTATTAAGTTTCGTTTATGTCTCAATCTAAGACGCTTTTTAAAACATTCAGTTAAAAAATTGCCATTCTTCTTTCCCGTTTTATTTATTTATTATGCAAACTGTATTTAATGCATTTTTGGCTAAATTTTATTCACATAACTATATAAATGATCGTCAACATATAGTTCATGCACTCGCTTGAAATTTTATTTTATATTTGTTTTTTTTTAGTCGTACCAAGATTCATCTGAGTCCTACAGACCATCGTCTGAAACTGAAGAAGATAATTGCTCTTTAGAGTCACAAAGAGTATGTACTTTCCTATTTTTTAAAAATGGTTATTACATTGACATTGATAAATTTTTAACTAAAAAAGATTTTGTTCAATGTATAAAACACCAACTAATTTGGCCCTGGAAGGTCACTCATTTTGTAAGAATGAATAAATGTTTCAACTGTAATGCTAGCGTTCATAGTATCATACATATACAAAGCCCGTTACATTTCGTAACAAGCATGAACAGAAATTGTATTAGAGCATTAGTAGGTAAAAAATTTTTTTGGTGTCAAATTTGCAATTATGCCATATATGATCATTATACACCTGATGAATGTGACTGTAATTATCAACCAAGGTTCATCTAGGTTTACTTTTAGATATTGATTAGTGGCCTTAATTCACTTTATTTATAATCAAAATGGATAAAAAGCTAACGAGAAACGAATAATATTAATATTTTCAAGATATCGTACAGTTTTAACCGTCTCGTCGCTGTTTATGCGCTAAGATTTCTTGTGTAGAAGAAGTAAATCACCCCCAAATTCCTGTGAGACAAACTTTGCAGATTACTAGAGTCACTGGTGTCACCTTATTTCGAATTTCAATTTTTAAGATATATAGTTTTAGTTTTTATATAGTTATAGCGAAAATGAAGAATCGAATAGTCATAAAAAGTCTCTTTCGTTTTCTCATTAATGTCAAACATTAACTTTTCAACACTTATGAACCAAGGCTTGATGATTGTACTAAATTATAATAAATAATTAATATATAATAAATAATAATAATAAATAATTGGTTATAAGATTATAATAAATAAAATAATTATTTTAATTTTTGCCACTACGCCTGTTGCGCCTATTACTATGGGGATGGTTTCTGTGTGTGTATTCCAGAGTCGTGTTAGTTCTATTTTTAAGGGGTGATATTTACTAAATTTTTCCAGTTCTTTTGATCCTATAATAAATAAAATAGGTATTTGGATATGATTTTTTAACATGGCAGTGCCAACTGCCTCCTGTCACACTCTTAAGAAATTATTTAAACTCAAGGTCTTAAACATAACTAAATCTGCAGGTACAGGTGGCAACAGAAATTTCTGACGAAAATAATGTTGACAACAGCGCGAATTTCACATTGAATTCCGATATAAGTACATACTTCAGACATTCACAAATATTAAATACACTATCTAATTCAAAATGTGATACGCCTACGTCTACCCATGAGGATGAGTACTGTTTTTTTTGTAATAAAAAAGTTCAGGATTTTTTAAATCATTATAGTGCAGTTCATGAATACAACTTTCAGCATGCAATTGAAACACCAAATAATAATCTTAATGCAACTCCCAATTTAGCCAGTTTTAATAATAGTTCAGTTTTGTCAAAAGAAATAAGTAACATACTACCACCGCATGATTCACTCACGGATACACCCACAAACACCAATGACGACCAAAAAAATTTAAATAAATTACAAAAAACCACAAACACACAGAAAGAAAATAAAAAAAGGCTACGTCTTCCAGACTTCTGCTTCTATTGTGAAAAACAAGTCCATAATTTTTCGAGACATTTAATCAGGAACCATGCCGTCGAATGCGAAGTTCAGAAAATTTTGTCAATTCCTAAAAAGAATCCTAAAAGAAAAAAGCTACTTACTGATTTACGAAAAAAAGGGAATTACATACTCAATTCGGCCCAGTGTGTAAAACCCATGAAAAAGACTGCCCATTCTACAGTTGA